CACTGGTCCCCCCGATTACCCGCTTTAGGGGGAGAGCAGTAAAAGACTGAAAAGACCAGACAAGTGAAGGGACTGAAGTGTCGTTGGGAGAAGCCCAAAAGCTTGCCAGCAGGACTCAAGCGGGCCGGGCCAACAAAAAGCAGGCCTTTCTATCATGGCCAAGTGAAAAACAAAAACGAGCAGCCCAGAGATGGATGACTACCTGACAGTGGAGGATTAGATAGAGGAATAACTAGTGACCATGTGGATCTTTCAAGATTATATTCAGATGCTACAGCCTTCTAGTTTTTGAGCACCGTAACAAATGAAATACCTATAGCAAGAACTGAAAATACAGAGATGTTATGGTCGTGACATAGCTAGTACTCTCAAACTATATTATCTTCACAGTCAACATTGAACAGACATTATGCAGAGACAAAGTGAGAAACCAGCTACAGTTGCAGTAACATCATTAACTAAATACAGACAAGTAATGACATGGCGCAACTCCAGCTATTCATCTCTAGAAGCAGGATCGATTCCGGTTGATGGGCTGTCAGCAAAATACTCCTGGTGTTTCACATTCACTCCATACTGCTCATTCAAAGAACACGACAATTATTTCTAGATACAAATAAAAAATGATTCCAGAAATTGATAGTATTAGTCGTTCAAGACATAAACAAAAGGCTTGAGCAATGTTTAAACATCTGACAATCCACCAAACGCTTCTCAAGCATAAAGATTGACTGGACACATTCTTCTATTTCTCAAGGAAATTAATCCACTCACGTATATGCCTAACCAGCTACAACATGCATTTCTCATCAAAATCTTGACAATCTAATGTTGTAAAACAAATAAATGCCTTGCTTCTGCTTAAACCTCTGCTCACAATGAATTAAAACAATCAGCTCTTATAGAAGATAAACAGGGATCAAATTTGTGCAGTCTATGATTGACTAAAAAGTTTTTTTTTTCTACATAAATAATTGACTAACTCCACTAGGATTAAATTAATTAAAAAACCATTCATGTTACACAAAAGGCAGAAGTTGCTTCCACGTTGCTGACTAGAGATGTAAACCAAAAATATTTCAAATCTTAACCACTCCTTCAAAGAAGTTTCAATGCAATAAAGCATCAGTGGTCAACTCCTTTCATAGCATTCTTTCACAGCACATTGATTTGTCATAAGAAGAGAATATATTAACAATCAGAATCAATCTAATGAGAAATTGAAGTTCCCTTCCATGAGCTACTTAGTGCTAGACACTTAAACATAATGATGTAGCATTTACGAAAGAATCCTCCACTTAACTTGACATAAGGAAATATAGAAAGAGGGGCAATATAGAAATTAAAATGCCTACCTCACGCAATGACTTTGAGAGGTCTTCCATTGTCAAGATTAGGCGCTTATCCTGTTCCAACAAGAGAATCAGACAAGCCAAAAAGGGCTAAGAACTTCAAAAACAAACATGGATAGATCACCTTTTGCTGCTTGTCCCTTTTGTCTTTGACGACCGAAGCCTGCCTTGCCTTGCAATGCCTACATTACGAGTAAAACATCATAACCAAACGTACTAACTTAAACATGAGCAAATCCAAACTGAAACTACTAAAACCTTTACTTATTTCTTTAATATCTCTCTTTCACATAAACAAATAACTGACAAATGCACATAAACTGACAAAATTAAAACTTAATCCTTCTCCTAACAGTCCTCGGCATTTCACAGCTTCTATGAAAATACTCCCAAACTGACAAAACAGCCTTGAAATTTCTGCAACATAATTTTATACATTCTTGAATAGAACACAAAGGGAGAAAGGGTTAAAAGTTTTTGGTGTCATACTGAAGTGCATCACTAGCAACCTCTGCAACAAACTTCTGAGTAGCAACAGCTACAAGCCTTATTCTGCAAAAGCACAAAAATAGTCAAAAACACAATCAAAGATAAACGGAAAAGAACATCGAAAGGTGAGGCTCATGCCATGAGTCAAATCAGAAAATACTCTAAAAGAATGCCCAAATCAAAAGGAAATCCCCTGCCACAAACCCCCACCCCTCTGTTTTGACATAGAAAGGTAAGCAAAATAATTCAGAAAACAAGCTACCATATATATATAAACAAAGCTCTTCTTGTTTTCTCATTTTGTCGAATATAGCAAACTAATGTCCTGCACCTTTATCTCATTTTCCTCACAAAATAGATAGTAATTAAATTTTTTATATGCGCCACACAGGGGAAACAACTTGAAGTTTCCATTAATCGGAAGCCTAGAACCAACTAAAAAAAAGATGGGTAACCCTAAGCACAGCAATTAGCGCAGAGGAACATAAATTTTCAAACTTTATCATCTTAAACTAACAAAGAATTAAAGATTAAGTAAATTTTCAAAGAATTGAATTTATTTTCTTCATATTTCCGTTTGGGCAGCCAAAAAGATGATCAAAAAGAAATCGAAAGAAAAAGGAGAAATACCTACAATCGAACATCAGGACATTGAACACCACTCTTGGCTAAGTAATGTTCCACCAATTCGTCAGGTATCTGCCACAAATCAATCAAAATGAAGGTTGAAAACTTGTTAGAAACGTAGATATAGCATACAATTTACAGGAATTCCCTCCTTCAAGGAAGCTTTTTTGTTCTTTTTGAAAGAGAAATAAAAAAGATTGATGGAGAAAAAGTGGAAACGAGAACGATACTGTGGGAGTGTATTCCATGAGAGAGGCCAGGAAATCGGAGAGAGCAGTGTCGTCGTCATGCTTCCCGTCGTCGGATTGCGGGTTATGGTTCATTCTCTGATTTTCTTTGCCGCTTTCCCAAAATTGTCTCCCCTCTTCTCTCCGGCTCCAGTCAACGTGGCTTGCGCTTTTTAATTAAAGAGGTAGACATCCAGATCCATTTTAACATCCCAATATAATGTAACACTATTTGTTAATTATTTAATTTCATTAAATATTTGATTAAATAATTTAAATAATTAAAAATAATATAAAAATTAAATTTATATTTATTAATTTAAAAAAATGGTTAAATGGTAAAAGTTAGGTTGAAAGTAAATACTAAAAATTTAAATATCATACATTACAAATTTTTGAAATATTATATATATAATATTAATTTAAATATATACATAATTCAATTAATTTCGAGTTTAAAATATCTTTAAAGTGATAGTAAAACTCACCTTAGCTCAAGTCGAGCATTAAAAATTTTATTCAAATTCATCTTATACCCGAATATATAATATCTTAGTCATCTATTATCGAGCTGAAAATTATATTTATATAATAATAACTTATTTACATATTTATTTTTAATTAATTTTGGGTTGAGGTCGAGTGTTACACATTTGACAGCCCACAAGGAGGGTGAAAGGCTCAAGACTACAATTATAATTATTATATGGTTCATTACTAGTATTACTTTTTTTTTTCATTTTTTCTTAAAAGAAATACTAATAACTTTAATTTATATTCATAATTAAAAAATAAATAAAAATATAATATTAAAAAAATTCTCTAAACTATTCAAAAATATTTTAATAAATCTTTAATCTTCTATTTAATTCAATTAAATTTTTATATTATAAAACATAATCGCACCATCATGTCACATCATCTTATGTTACAACACATCAACATATCATATAAATATCACATAATATAAAATAAATATAAAAAATACTTTGATTAAATTAATTTTTAATTATAAATATTTATTTAATTTCAAATAGAAATATAAAAATTTATATAGCACACATAATTAAAGAGCCTTTTTAAATATATTATCCTGAAAAAAATAAAAAACCAAAAACCAAAAGGCATAAACATAGGCCGCACGAAGCCCTAAGCTCCGTTGTGGCCTTTTTCGACTGTTATAGAACACGCACGACAGCTCAGAGACCCATAGCCAAAGTGAACATGATAAAAGCTAATGCTTGGCAATGGCAAGTGGCAACTATACTTCAAAGTTTCAGAAGGCCCAAAATAAAATGTCCCAAGCATTCCTGGAAAATTTTTATTGCATCAGACAGTGAACTAATGTTTCCTTGATTAGTTCATTATGTATCACAACTCCAACAGCAACCATTTATAAGAATTTACAATCAGCCAAGATGAACCTTTAACCGCTTGGATATCAACAGCTCTATACTTTGGAATGATAGGAAACAGTGAAAAATTCAAGTTCAACTAATCTATCTTGACATTTGCTGGCTATAGCGTTGTATTCCATAGATGTCTACAATGCCTGGGGGAAAAACAGGATCAGTTGCCGCTCTCACTGCAACCTTCGCGACGGAAGTTACATTAATGGGAGGAGTGAACAGCGGGCCAACAAGTGGAAGCTGGTTCAGTGGTTTTGCAAGTTGGAGAACCTGCAGAGATTGAAGAAGCTTAGTCAATGACTTATGAGACAAAGTTCCGTCCCCAGAAATCTAAGCTCAATCACATTACGTGCATCATCAGAGTTCAGCTGAGCATAGAACCATTTCCTCCATTGGGCAAAATTTCTTTCATTCAAGTTGTGATTTTATAAGTTTTTGTTCTTCACAAATTAACTCCTAATATACTAGGATAGACCATTGGACCCCGTGCTTTTTGCTGTTTGAAATTTCCAGTTTGGTCCATAGACAAAAGTAACTGAAGACCACATATACAAGAAAAACAAAAAGAAAAAGTTGAAGCATAGGCATTTACCATTTCCAGTGGAGAACCAACAACACCTAGAGGTAACTTCACACTTCCAACACTGCGAGTCCCGTAAATGAAGCCAGGCCTCAAAATCACTCCTGAAATAGAAAATGCAAAACTGTAAGTGATGTAAAGAACCATAACTACGTTTTTAGTCTACTTCACTTCTGTAAAAAAAAGTGATAAATTCATTTTACTAGCAACTCTACTATTAGCAATAAGCAAGTAAATAAGAAGCAATTCAACGCTAAGTGCAGAATGTTGCACTAATTACTGCAAGTGAATAAGAAAACCCACCTCCATAAGGAAATTTGGTCAGTAACTCTGTCTCAGCAGCTCTCTGCGCCAAACAAGAGAAGAAAAAAACAATTTTCCATGAGAGAGAGAAAATAATCAGCAGAAGACTTCTAGAACCATTATTCCACTTACAAATCAAAATCAATATTTCCATGTTGTATATGCTGACCTATCCATCTTGTGCAGAATGGTAAGCATAAATACAGACACCTGAACAGATGGCAATCAGCAAACAACAGCATAGAGAAAGTACCTTTCCCTCGTAATATCCTTGCAGTAAATAGTTTGCCAAGCCAAAATCAGCAGCAGAGATATAAATAAATCTTTTCACACCTGCAAGCAAATTTAAACAGCCAATTTAAAAAAAAAAAAAACCCTAGGTAACAGACCATATCTAATGTTACCAGTGACAAAGGCCAAGAGGCAAATAAAAATGAAAGAACACAGAATGAAAGCACCGACATCTGTGAACTTTTTTGCTATTTCTTCTCCCTTTTTTTTTATTTCTTTTTTTGGCAAAAGGAGTAATTCAAATGGAAAGCAAACAAAATTTTCCATCAGTACACCAGCTTCCCCTAAATAGACACTCAATTAGCTATACCTTTCTCTGCAGCAGCTCTGATTGCATTAATGCTTGCAGTCCCATTAATCTTATACATATAAGAATTGGATCCAAAGCCCCCAACGCAAGAAATCTAGAAAAATTAAACTTAATTAGCAGGAATAACCATACAATCAAAGATGTGAGTAAGATTCTAATTAAATCCAAAGTAAACCAGGAAATTTTAAAATGAATGCCAAAGTAAATTATAAACCAATTGTGCATCGCTTGTGCATGTAAATTTAGTTCAGATTTATTCTTAGTTATTAAGACATCTGCAGAGTTAAAGGACTACATACAACAGATGTCACTCCATTCAGAGCTTCCTTCCATGAAACAGATGAAAGAAGGTTTCCTGGAATGGCAAAAACATGTTAGACACATTATAACATGCCACCAATAAGATCATTACAAGTAAATAAAGAAAAGAAACCTTGATGCCATGTCACATTTTTAGCCCAAGAGTCATGTAAAGATGACCTGCCAGACCTAATTGAAAGAAGCAACCAAATTAAGGAGTTGAAGCAATACAAATAACTGGTGAAAAGGAAAGAGGGAGAGAGCACAGCACAACATATTAGGCATATTTTCACAAACCAATAATGTAAGGTATACCCTAGGCTTTAAAAAATGAAACATCGTACTACAAAGCATCCACAGAATGACCAGAGCTTATTTGTAGCAACGAACAGGAAGCATATTAGGAGAAAAATGAATAACCAGCCTTTGGAATACAAATACACAAATAACAACTAAAAGCAGATCCCTTTTTGCAGACATCTCTACAGTTGCAAACACTTCTGATGATATTTAAACATCTAATTTTAAAACACATTGCAGTTGAACAATCAGAAGTTCTTTATGTACTTTACTTTCCAGCAAGATCACATGGTTGCAAACACTGCCAGTTCATCCATTCGTCACGAAACCAGACTCACAGGAGAAAGAAAACTTAATTTCAAATAAATTATAATATTACATGAAGAAATTCTGGAAAATAATCATTTGTAGCAAAAATTTTGAGAAAATTTGAATACCTGCTGAGGCTGGCAACAGTCAGACCACGATTCAAAGCTTCCCTGCAGATATGGGAGCCAACAAATCCATTGCCACCCAAGACAAGCAGCTGAAATGAATAATACATAAATCAAAATAGAGGTATACATCATACAGAAAAAGCCAACATTACTAAATTAACAATAGTTTTAACACCTTTTCAGAAGGAGGAGGAGGTACATGTACAGTCTCTGCTTCTTCAACATTAAAAGGGTCATCAACCTTGTTAGACTCCGTTGAAAGAAATCTTCCATTCTTGGACCCACCCACTGCACTGTTTCATGAAAAAGGACAAGACCCAAAACGAAAATTAACCTTTTCATTTCAAACAGAACAAATCTTTGCTAACATTTTAGCCTCATTGGGGAGAATTCGGATTTCAATAGATGGCATAATCTACAGAAGTTAACATGAAAATTTATAACTAATCCAAAGAACCAAAAAACAGAATTAAATCTAGTTTCTGCCATCTCATCAATAACGATCGAATTCAAAAAGAAAAAAACATACGAATCAAAGAAACAGAAGAAAAGAATATAAACTTACTAGAGTCTAGAGAGCGAGAGTCTGGAATGGATCAAGCGTGAAGCCATGAAGCTCAGTTCAAATTCCTTTTCTTCCTCGATTACTCACCTTTCTCAATGGGATTTTTCTGAAACAAAGATTGCTTGAGAAATTGGAGGTTTGTGTTCTTCTTTCCCAGGGAGCCTGGTGTCCTAAGAACTGGAAAAGTCGGTACTAGTCAGGAACGAGAACTGAGCACAGATGGCGCCTGGCAGGTACGGTAGCGCATGTGGCTCATTTTAAGCCTATAGGAATATTTTAGTCAAACAGAAGGGGTAAGAAAGACCAAACATTAATCAAAATTGATGAATTCGATTTAATTTTTATTTTAATATTAATTTATTGGAAAAATCGGTGCACTCGATTTTTTCTGTTAATTTATTGAAAAATAGATTTTTATTAATAATATATTTTTAGATATATAATATTATTAATATGTTTAATATATATAATTATTTAAAGCATCTTGGATTTTTTTTAAATTTAGGGAAATGAGGATTTCAATTCTGTTTTTTAAGTAAAAAAAAATATATTAATCAATAAATCAAATATTTGGATATAAATATTTAATATTTTTAATGTAATATTATTGAAATATTAAATTAATTTTTATAAATTTATGTTTGATATATAAATGTTATTAATAGTTAAAAGTGATCAAACCAAAAGATTTATTCAAGAAATGTTTTCGATTATTTTCGACTTTAATGTATAATTCAGTCAACTTTGATTATTTATCATAAGAGTTTGATTAATTTAATGATTGAATGCTCACCCTAATTTAAGAGAAAGCACATTAGATTGCTTCAATTTTGGCGACGTGGCACAATCGCATTGATTTGATAAAATGGTCGAGTGGTACGGTATTAAATTGGGCCTAAGATTTTGGGCCGAGTCCAAGATCCAAATCGCCTCTTGGGGCCCAATTATTCTTGGTACATTTCAGCCACAGGAATTCTGCACTTTCTGATGCCTCACGCTCAGAGCCCAAAAAGCCCAATTTGAGTTCTTTAGCATGTGAGCTTAGGTTTCAGTTACTCTGTACATGGAGCTTCACATTACCATTTCCATAATTACTGAGATCTTAATTTCACCTGACTGCATGAATATCATGCTTAATATCAATAGATTGACTATTTAAATATTCAATTTCATTATAATTCAAAGTCTATATGAAATTCATGACTTTTTTCTAAATCATGACAATGAATATATACATATTTTTTATATATATGACATAATATTTTGTAATTTATTAATTAATTTTATCAATTTAATTTATAATTTTATACAATTAGGAGAGTTATTTTAACAAATATATCAGTTGATCAAGGCTTACAAGAATGTTCTTCCTTATTCGTGGGCACAACTCCAAGAATAAGAATAGAGGTTAAATTATTGCTCTTTGCCTAAAGTTTCCCGGCATTGGCACGTTACCTCTCTAATTATGCAAGAATTTTACTGCCCTTTTTAACGATACGAAGGTTCTCCATGGAAGGTTCGTGACAAGTTTTAACACAAACGAAAATCAAGTGGCCTGCATGGAATTGTAAGAACTAAAGGGGAATGACGAGGTAAAGCATAAAGCCACGACCAAGCTCCATGGCAGGCAGAGTGGCATCGTGGCGAGAAAGCTTTAATCAGTTCTGATAGCAACGGCACGGCTGGGTGGTGAAATTAAAAGGGAGAATAGCCACTAAAAGAATAAAGAAATATGCAGCAGCAGTGCACCGTGCACATTTTTCGCATGTCATTTCCCTTCAAGGGATTCTCACTGTCACAAAGTCAAATCTTTTAACTAAACAATAACCTGCAATGAAAGCAAAGAGGAACAGCTGTGTAAGTAAGTTCGTTCTCAACTTGAGAACCTGCATACTGTTTTTCTCCCAGGATGCAGATGGGAATTCCTGGAGGCTTTCAGGATATGTATGCTTAAAACCATTTACGTATATGAAACCCCAAAATCAAGATGTATTTGGTCTAAAAAGATAATGTAGGTGCTTGTGGTTTTAGTGCAGCTAGCCTTACGTAGAGAGGGGGGGGAAGGCCCGTCACAGATCCCATTCGACTGGGTTGGCAGCCGAACATGTATTCCGTCTTTTCTTTCTTTCTTTCTTTCTTTCTTCTTCTTTTTTCCTCCATTTTCTGTTGTGACAAAAGATTCCAACACCCATATCCTTTAGAGAAGTCCAAATTTAATAGATTTGTTTGGACGCTAACCTTTGATTAAATATGACCCAATCCAAGTGCCCTATCCACCACTCTGGGCACTGTCTAATTTTTTATCATTATAGTTAACATCATGCCAACATTTCCTACGATATAATGAGTACTTCATTAGTACTACCATGTTTTCTTTATCATGTTAATTAATTAAGAAGAACAAAAGAACGGATATGTGCCCTGTTGACATTAATTTAAGCTTCACGAACCACAGAAAGCAGCTGATAAATCTAGATTGGGAACTGATTCAGTTCATCACTCTCCCAACAGTATATTTTGTAGTAAAGGGAAAAGAAAGTGAATCAATTATTGAGATGTTTTATACTTGGTGGCCATTTAGTACAGATCGAAGATAAAGATTTGTTCTTCACTTCAACTCAGCTTCATGATTTTCTTATTGCGGATTATCAGGAATTGTATCAGGTTCTGAAATCAATAAAATATTACTACTCTAAATGGGATATGACCTTATCTCAAACTGCTTATCTGAATGGGATGTTAACCATCTTTAAGGCTTCTTATATCAGTTAGAACAAAAAAAAAAAAGGGAAAATCTGCAAATGTGATCAGTAAACTTTTCACACCAAAATCTACAGATATTGTGTGCACCAATGGTGACATATCACCTGTAAAATAATGATCTGGATATTTGGGTAGTAGTAATTCCAAAGCTTATCATGTGATTTCATTAGATGATATCCACTGGCTAAGTGGAGCATAATTTTCTTGTACCTTCTCATTGACATTTAACAATGGTACAGCCTCTGATTATGATTGGGAATATCATCAGAGTAAAACAAAGATTATGGTTAATTTAGAAACAAGGGTTTAAGTACAAAAATAGTTGGAATCTGATTATCTTACAGAAGTTTTCAAAAAGAAAGGTGACGACACCACCAAATTTAATCAAAAGAATAAGAAAAAGTCAGGGGCGAATTTTTCCAGATACAAGTGGCTTTTGGGTGCAAAAGAAACGAATAACAATTGATTTATAAATGCTTAAAAAAAAGGGCGGAATGTGGAAGCATCAAAAAAATTGATACAGACAAGTGTAGATAGGGAGAGAGCATTGTTTATGCAGAGATATGATTAAAAAGAAGACTAATGCATGATTGGGTTGATAAATTAGTTCATGTCTAAGCAAAATCCACTTAAAAATTAACTAGCAATTGTAAAGTAATTGCAATGAAAAGTTAACATGAAACGAGTTGGATACCATTTGCCAAGCCCTTAGTTGAAAACTTTTGCATGGGAAAATTGAGATAAAGTGAGAGCACTACAAAAAATAGGTATTTTTTCATAGAATTTGTCAAAAATCCGTCTGAAAAGAATATCTCCGATATATGATAGAGTACTAATACGACTAATTAAATTACAATTAAGCAAAAGTTAATTTCTTATATCTATATATATACCCTTTGAAGAAGCAAAATAAGAGAAAGAATGTAGACAAACAACCTGGATTTTGGGAAAGAGGGGGTTCAGAAAAGATTTTTCTACCGAAAGAAAAAAACGAAACAAAAGGGATAGCAAAAGTTTATGTTATGCATATCAGGAAGCTGCATTATTGTTCCATTCAGAGACAAAGGGACAAAAGCAAGCTAAAGCAAAAGCAACTCCGGCATATGCATGCAAACAAGTTACTTTACCCCCTGATGGGACTGCAAAGCAAAGACAGCTTGTAACATAAGTGATTGTCTGCATTCTTACTTATTTGGAATTGCTTCCGAACATTATTTTTCGGAGGTTGGTTCATGATTTCTACTTTAAAATTTTAACATTTTATGGAAGATTTAGATCAATAATTGATATATGATTCTGTTGACAAATAGGATTCGAATTCTACTATCTTCAGATAAAGGAACCCTTGGGCATAAACTATATATCAAAGACACCAAGAGTAAACGTGAAGCAAGCAACATAAGCTGGAGAACCAGATATTAGATAGAGCCAAAAGTCCTTGCAATTGCACTACCAGCTGCTTGATTTGGGGAGGGGAAGTGGAGGGTGATGGAAAATGAAGGACCTACAGAGGAAAAAGTAAACAGCTGTGCATGATTAAGGGACCCATAGAGACATAGTGCGGTGACCCTTTGCTCACTGTTCGGACCCTCGATGATTAGCTATGAATTCACCCAACAATCCGAGAGGGTGTGGCCAAATGCAACGAGCCAAAGTCCGAGAGTTATAGGACCTGCCTGGGGCGGGAGAGCCGGGTGGCATGCAAAAGCATAAAGTGCTTGATGGTGGTGGTGGTGGTGGTGGAAAGTCGAGAGCTAGCCGAGAGAGACAGACAGACAGAGAGCTTCGTGGTCTTTTGCTAGTGCACCAAAGACCCTTCGTTGTCCTCAAACTAGCATATTTCCCAAAGTTCTTTGGGTCCCATCCGACTCATTTCCCACCTGAGCTTTACTAGCTGGGGCTCCCCTTCTGGCTTCTACTGTTACCCAATAACACCAACTCTTTTTCGGATTATATATTTTCATTGCCTTGCTATAACTTAGAAACTAAAACTAATTCAAATCCGACCAACTCCAACATATACGGTACGCTAATTTTAATATACTTGATTTAGAAAAGAGTATAATACAATATTATATCTCATCCATCAAATAAATTTGGATTATTCATTTATAGTGTCAAAGGCATCGTACCTATCAAATTAAATAGAATATGTATCAAGAAAAATGTTAAAATGATTAATAGTTATTTTATTATCCAATGCGTTTGAGTAAAGTAATCGATTAATCCTATTTAAATTTAGGTCAAATTGATGAATTGCAAACATGAAATTGTAGTACTCAAAGTTATTATTTGACGTTACATTTGATGTAGTACTTCTATTATTGTGTTCAATAATTTCCCAAGTTTGAACATAGGATGGTGCTAAACATTGCCTTGCTAAGGTACGGAAAAGTTGGTACTCCATTTTGAACAGTTAAGCTAATGTACGGAGAACAGAGAGGTATGGAGACGCCATTACCAGAATTTTTGTTGGGTTTGCTGTCATGAGTCAAGGACAACAGCCCCCCGAAGAGAAGAAGGCCGAGAGGTTAATTTAAATAATAATATTGTAGGCCAATACATTCAAGGCTAATTGATCATCTTCTCTGTGAATTGTTAGTGCGGAATCTGGATTCTGATGCCTCCAGATATTCGTCAATGCAAGATCATTGTCAGAATGATGGACGAATAGTAAGGGAAGTGCAAAAGCTAAAGCTGACTTTGGAGGGCTCCGTGCGATTGTTGTCCAAACTAGATTTCACGGGTTAACCTGTTTCCTGTGATTCATTTAATGACCAACCAGAGCGAGCCATTCCCGGCTGGCGGTGGTCATGACCTGGAGTAGGTTAAGACTCAAAACCGGTCAAAGAATGGGCAATCCCCAACGCTCCCCAACCAATGATCATCTGACCATTGACTTTTGAAGGCCTACGGTGTTTTGCACTCAACAATCTCGCTCAAGGATTCACATGCCATTGACTCGTTTTGAGTCACACAAACAAGTACTTGTAGAATTCACATTTTGTGTGGTGAAAAATCATTGCCGGGGTTTTAATTATGATAGCAAAAAAAAATCTATCAGAATCTGCAATTTTCAAAGAAAGAAGAAGCTAATTGCTCCATATGATTCTTTTTAACTGATTGTAAAGGGGAGGTGGCATCTGCCAGAGCCGACTACTATTTCCAGGCTACCACTAGAGCTAAAGAGACACGGGCTAGCCAAGAGCCAACCGAACCCTGACCTAACCCTTTTCTCCCAGCTTTGAAAGCGCAGCTTTTGTGTCTGATTGTAATTTTCTACATGCATATCCTGATATCCATAACACTGCTGCAGCTTTTGCCTTTGGACTCTATACAAATACACTATCCATAGCCTACGTATAGTCTCCCAAAAAAGCCAGAACTTTCCTCTACAGATGCGGTCCGAATTGGGATTCCGATCATGACTATCTCTCTATGTAGACTTGTTGGGCCCTCTTAAGATGATACAAAATACACGCTGCAGCATGGCGGCAGAAAGCTTGCAGACACATCTTGCTACTAAGGTTTTTTTTTCTTTTATAATTAAAAAATAAGAGATTCTAACTTTAGTTTTTAAGAAGAGGAATAATACACTAATCAGTAAATTAAAGGTTCAAGTATGGTTACTAGCTTCAGGTTTTTATCCCATTCTGATAAATTTTCACCAGGTTTTTTATCCCATGAGAAACCTTCTCTCTGCCTGGTTAAATATTGCATTCGATACTTACATTAACACAAAGCAACTGTGGCTGAATTTGTAGGGGGGGGTATTGGAACATAAAGAAGTTAGATATCGATGGAGACAAGTTTGGCGGGGGTGATATTTTAAGCGAGACACCATGGGATCAAATCACAAAGCAAATTGACCAAATGAATGGAAAGCCACAACACCTTGTTGCCACTTTACCCAGAAGGCTTATGCATTATTATATTTATTAAATGATTGTGGTCGATTTTTAGCTATTCTTCTCCATCATCAGCAATGAAACTCAGTGCGTTTTAACTGTTCCCTAAGAAATATGGACCCCGACCAATACATCCACCCAATTGCCCGCCTCTTAATTACATCCCATGGGTTAATTGTTTCAAAGGCAAGGTGTTACAGGCTTCCAGCACAAACACGAACATTCTTTTCCAGCCACCTTAGTGGAGGATTTGAATTGAAAACTCCTTTTCTCCTACTTGTGATACAGCAAAATTATAATACTGATGTCTACTTGAAATCATTTTTCCATGCACCCACTCTCACAAAAACAACAAAGGGTGTCTTCATATGACGCCATCCTATATATATTCAAAATGCCGATGATGGATAAACTTTTTTATAGTGTACTAATTAATCAATTAAATTTGGGGTTTTTTTATTGTTGCTTTGGAAGCATTCCACTCTTAGCTCGAGTACCTGCAAATACGAGTTTACCCTTGGCTTAACAAGAAAGTTTATGGCCAACATTCCTTGGAGACATGACATTAGAAACTGTGATCATTAGACATATTGGCTTGATCAAGGAAGTGTCGATTTACAAGTGATCACAATCTTCCGAGTATCATCGGTGTCATCAACAATGAAGTCAAGATACTAGGATTGATACTATAATTTGGCGCAAAAGAATATTGTTTCACAATCAAAGTGAAAATCAAAACAATTTCAATTATGTGTCGCAAGTAGCAGCAACATCGGATTAGATCCAAATCGGTTCTTGATTCCAACTTAAAACGAGCATGGGATTTGTCACTTTGATCCCATTCATGTCATTGATGTGGGAGTTGGCGCTGGCAGGCATCAATCCCTTGGGATTAACATGAATCTGGTTAGGTCTATTGCTGCATAATGCAAAGTTCTTTCTGATTTAACTAATTATTGCCTCTTATGTCATGTAAAATGACCATGTAATTAATTAGAGCAAAGGGGAGACAAGTTGAATTCTAAACCAAGAAAAAAAGTGGGCACTCTTTATGGATTTGAAATGAAATGTTAGAATCAGAATCCACAAGCTTTCACATCAGGTTAGATATATAACACACTTTCTAAGCTTGGTGTAAATCTTATTGGAAAAAAACCAAAAACAAATTTTTTGAAAGGAAAATGCTGATGCCTAATATGCTAAATACTCCCATGATACAGAGCTGCCATTGGTGGTTCCTACGGACCCATATGAACAATCGGCCAGTAGCTCTGGGCCCGACCAGAGCGCACCATGGTCTATTGGGGTCAGTAGCCGGATGCTGAGGATCTGAGCCAACAGCCAAGTGCACCTGGCCATCGTTGCTACAAAGTACAGACCACAAACTAAAGAAAGAAAAACAACGTACACAGGGCCATGTCCGTGACCTTAATCAGAAAGGCGGAAATTTCTCTTCCCTCTTTTTCTGTTTCCCTCACTTTTCCCTCCTTATAAATAACCGTCCTTACCTGCTTTCGCTCTGCCCATACCAACTCACCACCTTCTCTATTAACCAAAAAAGAAACACGAAGATGAGACCCGTTAGCAGCTCTAACTTAATGAAAACAGGAGGAAAAGCCTCATTGTCACCACCAGCAATGGCGCCACCACGCTCTCCATGGCACTCTCCTGTGCCCTACCTCTTTGGAGGGCTAGCAGCGATGCTGGGTCTCATTGCTTTTGCTCTCTTGATCTTAGCTTGCTCCTACTGGCGTCTGTCTGGTCGTTTGGACAACAACAGTGAAGGAGATGCCGAAGGAGATGTTGAAAGTGGTGAGAAAGATCAGGGTGATTCTAACAAGCAGGTGAAGGTTTACGAGGAGAAGATCTTGGTGATAATGGCTGGTGAGGAGAAGCCCACGTTCTTGGCTACCCCTATGTGCACTAAAGCTTCCTCTTTCGGCGATAAAAATGGAAATGTTGAGGACAAGGAAGGATCGGAGAAAGCTGAAAGTGGTGAGAAAGTGAAAGAAGAGATTGGTGATGATCATGAACAATTGCCAACAGTAACAGAAAACTCTGAGAACCACGAGAGCCAACAAATCCAATATCAAAACCAAAACCAGTGAGCACAGCTCATAGCTCATAGATGCTTTCACTTTATTTTGCTTTCCATTTTGACCTCTCTTTGCAGAGAGTGAGAGAATTTTCTCTGTTTTGATTTCTTCCTTTCTTCTATCTTTTTGGTTTGATGTTTTTGGGGTTTTGCCTTCTCAAATCCTGAGAAGTTAATGTTCCAATTCCGATAGTCGGGAAAATGTAAATTTTGCTGAGAAGATAAATTAGACGCAGAGAGCGCTTTCTTCCCAAATTCCAATTGATTAGAGCTTATAATTTCTTCTGCCATCAAATTTCCAATGCATTTTACAGTTGGCCTAACCAGCCTTCTGCCCGAGACATCATAACAACAAAGGCAAAACAATAATTACTGAACAATCTGGATGCACTTGCTCGCGAGTCCCAAAGCCCCAGCAGGCACAAACTGGGTGAGAAACAAAGAGCCAAAACTACAAAGCTATGGGCTTTAATCAAATCCAACGGTTTTGAGCCGCTGGCTAACACCAGATATGATATAAAATTTGAATGGAATCATCTTTCGTTTATGAATTTATCAAATTCACTTTTAAAGTACTAATGGAGGAATAAAGCAAAGAAAGTGACTCAAAGGACATATTCTTTCTGGTTTCTCGGCTGCCAGGAAGCTGTCATCAGATAACTTGTGGGGAAAACCGGGGAGGGAACATTGATCAAGAAAGTATGGAAGCCTGCAGTTTTTTTCTTGGGCAGGAAACCAGGGGACACGTGCTGACCTTTAACCCGGAGTTTGGCTCCCATTAACAAGTTTAATGCATGAAAAATAAAAAGCAAAGCGTAAACTTAAGTAGGCTAGGCTGTCTGAACAGCGCGGCGACGCGACGCCCGCATTTGCCTCTTTAAATTCCACCCACCCTTGCCCTTTTTGTGTATTATTATTTCCAACACTTTTAAAGCCGTCCAAGGTGCATGCGGACGCCCAAGGACAAACCTTGATGTATCTCATGCTCGGATCTAATGTCACTGGTCACAAATTGAATTTATTTTTTAATTTATAAAACATATTAATTAAATAAATAAAAAATATTTATAAAATTAAAATTCATTCAAATTTTATTAATATAAAATCCGTAACTCAACACTGATCTTGAATTCTCTGGCAAAATTGAAACCTACTATTTCATGAAAAAAAGAGAGGAATTAAATTTATTTATAATAATAAAAATTAAAACCCTTTTTGGTAAAACAAAATCATATTCTTAACTAATACTAAAGATGATAACAATTTATATATATATTTGCTTGAATATCTATTATTAATATCATGCTCTTGTTGGATATAAGATGACAATATAATGCAACTTTCCTTCTCTTCAAACGAATGAAGTATTACTAATGAATAAAGGGTTAAACCTTTTTTTTATTTATAAAAATTGTTTATTCCCTGCCCCTGGCCTGCTTTAATTCCCAATATTTGGTAGTAGTATTACGATCTTTTCTTTTTCTGTTTTTGTGATGGGCCATTCTTTGGGCTCATGGTTTAGCACTACTGAATTGCCTTGAGGGCATGAGCCACGTTCAATGAGTTTTGATTGGGCTCATTTAGCCCATACGAAGTTACTGTGTTTGAAGGCCCTAAGCTTTAGTTTATATAGTACTAATACTATGTTTTTTCCCCCTTTTTCCTGTGAATTATGATGGTTTTCATAATATCACCAAAATCAACATTAACGAGATGGGAAATTCTTTTTGAATTAAATAGTTAAATATATATATATATATTATGGTCAATTTTTTTCAATTAAACACTTTAATTCTTCATTTGTATGGTAAACAAGGTCTTAATCTTCACAAAAAATTAATTATTATCATTAAAACTCAATGTCGGTTGATATTTTATGCACATGTAACATATGACCTAGCAAGCCAATATTACGTGGCTACGTGGGAGTTGGCATGGTCAAATACACCGATCATATCAATTGCTCACGTTATGTCGTGTGAACAAAAAATATTCATTAATATTGTTAAGGTTGAGAATTTGTTTAAGTACAAATAAAAAATGAAAGACTTGTTAAAAAAATTATCTTAATTCAAGGGTTTTTGTTGTAATATTGAACCCATTTTGTTTTAACGTGCAGCCATTAGTGTAATAAGCATCCAACTGTCTACTGCCAAATTGCATGCAAAGAGTAAGGACAGTAAGGTGGTGAGCTTTCTTTCCGTCCTATTTAGGGCGAAATCATAAATGTTGATGACTATTGAAAAAGTTTTGACACGAGATAACAACTGCAAAAATGGACAGCTAGTACTATTAATTTGCAGACAGAAACCACATTAAATCTTAGCCTACGAAAGTGTTTTTTGAGTGTCAAAGCAGACAGTCGAAGTGGTAGCATTTGGCAAACATGAAGCACTCCTATCTCCCTCTCCTACTAGTGTTTTTCCTCATCGTATCACCTGGCAATGGTAATAGAAACACCCCCACAGTTTCCCCCTTTCTTTACCGTCCGTTCCACTACTGTCCGAACTTGTTTTTTTACTCTCTTTTCTTTTTCTGGGATCGGAAAACAGGTGAAGCAGCCGCTGATCAACCATGCAGGACGTCTCCGATCCATCTCCCCAATTGCTCGCATGAAGCATGTGTGCAAAGCTGCGTCGAGACGTATGGTGAAAGCGTCAATGGGGGATGCATCAACAACCACACTTGTTGTTGCAACATTGGACAGACGAAACCAAATACCTAATAAAGTGTATTAACTTAAAATATGTCCGAAATATTGAGCCTGTTTGGTTTTAGTCAAGCAACTTTCGAGTTCTATGGTTATTTTGTTCGCCTTCCTCAATTACAGAGCTAAAATTTGGAATTGACATTCAAGATTGCCTAGTAACTTATACACATGGCCTTCAATTTAATTGATCGAACCATTGAAAACCATTGCAATTCAGTTTGATCCCTTCGGTTATCTGGTTTGCCTGCTCAACAACTTATCTAGTATTGGCACAAAGCGTAGTGGACCAGTAATAGTAATATACCAGCTGAAGTTTTAAGGCTTCATGTCTGTAACTTGATGAATACAAAGAAAGTACGTATCCCAAGTGTTGTAGCTGAGGCATGGTCAAATGAATGTAGATGACTTATGAGTTGTCTTATTGTGCCGATGATTTAGCTCAGTTTAACCTGCCCTTTTCTTAACAGGTAGCTGGACCTGCATCAGGCAACTGTTATTTAGCATAATTTTCTATAGGAAACATCCCTATGCATTTGATGTAGAGAAGAATAAGATTTTCAATCCATCTGTAAAACATCCCTATAATTGATGAGCATTTAGTTTGCAGGGGTTTAACATCATTTTCTTATGGTCTTTTATAACAGGCCAAAGTTTTTACAATTCGAACATTTTAGAATCTTGATTGATAGTCATAGTGTTTAAAAAGAAAAAAAGAAAGGAACAAGAAGGGGTTGTCCTCAAAACTTTTTTCCAACTCCATTTTCAAGGCCCTTTTAGCTCTTAATCAGCGAGATGATGGGCTTCCCCTTTCCGCTTGTCTTTTCCTTTTAACGTATCATAAATAGGCTCTGTCCTCTAGTCCTGGGAAGAAGCATGTGTTCCACACTCGATGGGCCAATCTCTGTACAGATTTAAAGTTAATTAATGCATTGCACAGGGAGGTTCTGTCTTGACTCTTGACTCTTGTGTATTGCGTGCATCATCTGCGGAAGCGAGAATAATCACTGAACAGAGAGAAAGATAAGAACTGACTGCCCTTTGAACTAGACAAAGAGAGCCCTACAAGGCCTGGGTGGGGGAAACTCACAAAAGTTGGAAAAAAGTTTCATGACCTCTGCATGATATTACCTTTCACAGTTACGGGGATATGGTAAGGCTGTGGGTTGGAAAATGACTTCCAACCTTCAGTGTGCAAATCACGTTCCCTCCCTCTTTACAAACCTTGATGTTCTTTAATTATGCATGGAAATTAATCTCCAAGATCTGATTGGGACAACAAGGTAGTGATTAGTTGGACGGTGCTTCATCTGATTTTAAACGTGAGCTTTTGCAGTTTATCTGATTCTAATTCTAATCCAACTCTTTATAATGTCAGGAGCAGTGGCACCGACCACGTAAGAAAGAGTAAACTGATCAAAACAGTGAATATAGGATTACAGGGCAGTTATTCATGGAAACGCACAAAGCAATAATTCCAGAAGAATTGGTGGAGAGTTGTTTTCCAAGTAACTAGAGCTTTCTGTGTTGGTCGCATGACCTCAACATGAGATATGCCATTTTTATCATAACTTCCATATCAAATCTTTTTCTTCTCTTGGTATGTACTCGTAGACCCCGTTATCACAATGGGTATTAAATGTTAGAGTATCTAATTTATAATCAAGTTTAAAATAAATTCGAAGAAGATATTAATTAGTAATTTTTTTATTTGTTTTCAAACATCTTAATGTAATGTTCTCTAAGCCCCTAATATTGGAGATTTGTCTAAGGTAGGTAGGTGGACGACTATAAGCAGGATCAATTCAAAAAAGAAAAAGTAAATTAATGTTATAATTATAAATATTCCATATTTATATCTTAATTACTACAAAGGAAGGATGAATTTAATCAATCACTTTCTTTCTTTGCATCCCAAAAATAGGGGAAAACAGTGCTGTTAATATCACCCCATCTGTCCCAAACCAATGATCCCTAGAAAAGAATTTAAGGAATTCCTTCGAGTCGACCAAGTCCATCAAACTGTTAAAACATCGAGTCAATATAAATTTGTTTAAATTCATTTAATTTTAAAATAAAATTCGAGAAATTATAATTTTTTTTTATAAAATTGAATTAATTTAATTTCAAAAGTCTTAATATCGAACCAATTCGAGTTTATGAACAGACCCCTCTAGAACCTCAACTTGAAACCCAAGCGGGGACCACCGCTGGCACCATTTACTGTTGTTTTCATGCACCCAAAAACAAAAAAAGCTCCTTTCTTCGGTGGGGTCCACCTCTCCCCCCTACCCCGAAGGCCGATTGAAATGAAAAAGACAAGTCTCTCCTTTCGTCCCTCCCGTTTTTCAACCCCAAATAAAATCCTTTTATTTCGGCTAAGCCTCCCCCACGTGTTCCTCTCCCATTGGTCATGTCCTAGATCTCCCTGGCCCACTAGATAGACTCCACTGCCCACACGCGCATCGTCATCGGACAGCTTAGCCAAAAACCCAAAGCTTCACTTCACGCAGCAAAATTACAAAACGAAGGAACCAAACTCAAGCACTCAAACTCCAGAGGCTGAGAGAGAGAAGCGAACAGAGAGATAGAGAGAGGGAAGCTTTGTTTGTTGGTTTTTCTGAGGTGGGGTTGTGGAAATGGCTTCCAAGTTGTGTGACTCGTGCAAATCAGCGACGGCCACTGTGTTCTGCCGGGCTGACTCGGCGTTTCTCTGCTCCAACTGCGACTCCAAAATCCACGCCGCCAACAAGCTGGCGTCGCGTCACTCTCGGGTCTTGGTGTGCGAGGTGTGCGAGCAAGCGCCGGCTCACGTGACCTGCAAGGCTGATGCGGCGGCTCTCTGCGTCACATGCGACCGAGATATCCACTCTGCGAACCCGCTCGCGCGCAGGCACGAGCGGGTCCCGGTGACCCCTTTCTGCGACTCTGTTAACTCGGTACCAGCCGTCAAGCCTAACGGAGTTGTTAACTTCCTGGACGAGCGTTACTTCTCGGACGTGGACGGAGACGCGGACGTCAGCAGGGAGGAAGCGGAGGCGGCCTCGTGGCTGCTTCCCAACCCTAACCATAAAGCTGTGGAGAGCCCGGACGTGAACACCGGCCAGTACGTGTTCTCGGAGATGGACCCGTATCTGGATCTTGATTACGGGCATGTGGATCCGAAAATGGAAGCACAAGAGCAAAACAGCTCTGGGACCGATGGAGTCGTTCCTGTCCAAAGCAAGAGCGTCCAAGCTCCGATGGTTAACGATCACTGCTTCGACTTGGACTTCACCGGATCCAAACCCTTCGCTTATGGCTACAACGCTCACTGTCACAGCCACAGCGTAAGCAAATCACAGCAGCTTTGAAATTACGAGTAGTACCATCATTTCAAACATGAAAGTAGCATTCAAGTTTGGTTTTTTTTTTCTGTTTTCCAGGTATCATCGTCGTCGTTGGATGTAGGGGTGGTGCCAGATGGTAGTGCGATAACGGATATATCAAACCCGTACGGGAGAGGAGCGGAGTCAACTCATCAGACGGTGCAGCTTTCATCAGCCGACAGAGAAGCCAGGGTGCTGAGGTACAGGGAGAAGAGAAAGAACAGAAAGTTCGAGAAGACGATCCGCTACGCCTCCAGGAAAGCTTACGCTGAGATGCGGCCTAGGATCAAAGGAAGGTTCGCCAAGCGCACTGACATCGAAGTCGAAGCCGACCGCCGGAACATGTATGGATTCGGAGTCGTACCCTCGTTTTAAACAATCAGTTTAACCCCCCTCCGCCCACCTCTCCCCTTCTGCTGTAGTAATATTATTTTTATTGTTAAATTTTGGGTTTTTAATTATCAAGTCTTTCACTTTGGTCATCTCTCTCTCTTTCTCTCCTTCTGTCCTGAGGTTTTATCAGGAGAAGGATTTTGGCTGTTTATGTGTTGTTTCCTGTATATGAGTAGGTGAAGAAGGTGTTGTAATCTTGTAATCCTATCAACAATGGAATATGGACCATTGATTTTGTACAGGTTTTTATTTATGTAGTAATCACCTGTCTATCTTTTGCTTCCTCTGCTTTCCGTTGGTGATGATGACGATCTTGGTTCATTCGTGGGATGGTATCAAAATCTGCCATGCCATTGGCTTTCAGGGTGATAAGATGTACTATCATGTGAATAATTAATTCATAATTAGCAGAAGTTTAGTCAAAGGGTATTGCTTGCTTCATCTCCAACCCTTGTTTCAAGCTGAAAATTCTTCACTTGGTTAGGTAAGGCTTAGAAATATCATATAAAGGTTTTTTTTAACCAAATTTAAGTCCAGCCGAGTCCATTTATTTACTCTTCTTCTTCTTCTTCCCTTTCTTGGGATGGAAGGTGTTTCATTTGTCTTAATACTGACTTTAGTAAGCAGGAAAAGAGAAATGGAGGAAACAAGGTGGGGGGACAAAGTTGTCATCTCTCATTAAATTAGAAAGGAAATAAGCAGTAAAGGGAAAATAAGCTTGATTTGCACTTCCCATTCTCTTCAAATACAATCCGTTTATGATTAAGTAGGGAAAACAGCGAGATGATTGAATTAAAACCGATCATTTTACTTGCTGATACGAGTATAAATTGTTCTCTTTAATCCTTTTTTGGCATTTTTATTCTACTACCACTTTCTGTCCCCTTCTCTTCCTTCTCCTTCCTTACTACCAAAGCAAAGACAGTGTCAATGAAGTTTGACTGAGGACCAGATGGTAAAGTAGTTTTTGATTCTTTTGAAAGGTTATGAGATGTAGGAGATGTATCTGCAATAAGTGGGATTTGGACTTGAAGAGAGGAACTTGGTGGATCTGAAGGTGCCTTCCACGTTATGACTTGTTCCATGTTTCAGCTTCATTTTCATAGTGGTCAATACTTTCATATCAAAATCTCATGACTTATTGGTAATGTCAGCATCTATCAGAAGTATTGTTATTAGTACTAATTTTAAGATTTAGTCCAGGGTATAAAATTTTGAGCAAGATGCTTTGCTTTATGGGATCCAAACTCCATGGTGCATTATCCACACCTGGTTGCCCAGGTGGTAAGATGTTAAACCATCTTCCCTTTCGACAGCCCACAACCACCAAGTGGCACATTATTGGGCTGAGTTAACTGATTGGACAAGGCCTAAATTCTCTGCCAGTCTTTGATCCCCCAATTTTCCATCATCATGGAAACTACTTACATGAAACAAAAATGACCCAATTTTGTTGTCGTTACTTGAAACAGTGCTGTTTAATGACGGTATGATTTTGGTTTTGGCATAGATAGTAATTACATATGTATTCACGAGGATGCTAGATAAAAGTTATATTTATATTTTAAAATTAAAAATTATATTTCATAAAAATTTGCATTTTAAAATTTAACATACGAAAATCATATATATATTTTACATGTTCAATCTGATTTTTTACAAATTATAGGATAAAACATATTATACATAATATATAAAATTTAATTTCATATCGAGGCTAATTTTTAGGATATGAAAACACTAAAAAGATATCAATCACTTACCTGACTTGTCAATTTTACTTTCAAGCAATAAATCAGAAAATTCTCATAATTACCTAATATTTCGAGAAATATATACAAATATCAAAACCGTATTTACAAACAAATTGGACAAGTGACTTTCGGTTGACTATCTCAAGCGCTTAGTGTGTACAGCAATCTCTATTGTAATTTAAAAATATTTTAAATTAAATAGATAATATATTATTATTGTTATTATTATTTGAGTTAATAAAAAAATTAAATACAATTGAGAATTAAACTTAAATCATAAAATTAGTAAAGATTTTAATTGTTGATAGAAATATAATTTAATTTCATATAAAAATCATGTTTCAAAATTTTTCCTTAATTTTTTATTTTTTTATAAAATTTTCTAACTTAAAGAAATAAGTTTATAAAATATAAATATATATACTTTTAGACATAAAAATTTATTAAAGATAAAAAATTTAATATTTAGAAAATTTACAATAGAATTTATTATATATTAATTAAAATCAAATTTTAAAAAAATTAAAAAAAATTTTATTTTTTAAAATTTTCAGAATCTAGATAACCATTTGACCTAACTTGAGCTTTTATAACTTTTAACCCGAATTGTTTTCAGTAATAAAATCAGCATCATTTTGAAGTATTCATATCATACTATAACACCAGAACTTGTTTTGATTAAAAAGAACACAAAATTCCTAAGTTTCAAAACTCAAAATTCTATAAATCATCACAAATATTCAGATTTTTGAGTTTTTTGTATCAACGAGCTTACTTTGAGGCTTTAATTCTCTTAACATAGGAAACTCCTAACCAAGCCATTAATGCCAAATCAAACATCTCATTTCATACTATAAAAGCCCTCAAAGAAACAGAAAAAAATGTTAACGGAACATAGAGTTTCGGTGACTCAAAATTAAGTTGTCAAAATTGTTGAAAACTAAGTTTTCTTGAATAAAAATTAAGGAAATTCAAATAATTTAAGACATTTTTTAGTATTCAAACTATAAAAATATAACCCTAAACATATCTTAATCAGTAATTTCTTAAATAATTTTTCTCTTTTTTTATGTTTTTTCTTCTTTGGAGTTAAATTCTTTTGACTATCTATCGTTTGAGTCTGATGAAATATATTGACGTAAGTTTTTTGATTTTTTTTTAAAAATATTAAAATAAATTGATTATTTTTATTTTAAAATATGATAAGATTAATTGATTATTTTTTATTTTATTTTATTTTAAATATGATAAAATAAGATTGATTGATTTTCTTTTAAATGTAATAACGTAATCTGACATTAATTAAAATATACCTACTCTATTTTTAAAATTATTTATTTATTTATTTATTTTGTAAAAAGTATTAGATGAAGGCAGAGTTTCCAGTGTACCTAATCACATTTTAAATACCCATTATTTCCCACTAATTGTAATTATAAAAAATAAAAATAAACACACTTCTCATTTTTTAAATACAACCCTTCTCATACCCTAGGGAGCTCCATCATAGCCCTTTCTTTATGTCTTGTTAGACAAATGAAATGGAATGAATTTTGAAATCTCTTTCTTTTCGTTGGAAAAGCAGAGGGCGATGATGAAGCTATCAAGGTTCGCTCGTCGTGCGTAATGGCAGAATATTGCCTTGTCGACACTCTTCTTGATGCTCTGAGCTCCTCTTTGCTCGTGTCCTTTTTTTTTTGGGTGTTTGTCTCTGCCATATGCTAGTTTTTGCTTTACCCCATTCGTTTTCAGTTTGATTTTGACAAAAGGGAGGACGAAGATGATGAAAAACATCAAGGTTCGCTCGTCGTACAAAATGGCTTAGTTGCCTTGTTGACTCATCTTGATGATCCGAGTCCTTTTGCTTGTCTGCAATGCTTGCGTGCTTCTGTTTGTGCTATGGCGATTTGGGTTCATAATTGCTGATTCAGCTCCTTACTACCCATTCAGCCCCAAAACTTTGCAAAATCCATCATGGTTCATAATTAAATCTGGCACTTTTCGACATCGAGGAGCGCCAGATTTGACGCAATTTAGAACGCACGATCTGAAGCTCCAAATCTGACCCCCCATGCACCAGATCTGGCCCTCTGCGAAAAGAGTGCGAGAGCTCCCTCAACAGGGAGGCTTCCACAGAGGGAAGCTCTGGCGCTCCCTTGAGAGAGTGTGAGAGCTCCCTCAGCAGGGACATGCTAGGTCCGGCCAGATCTGGTCCAAAAACGTCAGATTCGGTCGAATCTAGCTAGAAAGGAAGGTGAGTTTGTTTTCAAAAAAAGAAAAAAATTAAAAATGAAAAATAAAAATTTATATAACGTTGTAATTTTTAACATGTTCGAGGAAAAAATTGTTTAAAAATATTATAACGATAACAAATTAACGCATTTTAAATAATTGATTAAGCGATTGAACTTACAAATCCAGTAACAGAAATTTATTTGAAACGAAATGTTTATATTTCAAACTAATCGATTTTCGTACAATTTTCATCAAAAAGTTGAAAATATCCAAGTATTTAACCCAAATCATATTATTCGGACCGATTTGGTTCAGGTTGTCATATCCAGTTCCTCTTGACAATGTTTTTTTTTTCCGACGGGGCTTGGAGGGAACCAGGAAAGAAATGGTCCGAGTTAGACAGCCTGTGTGATTCTTCCAAGCAAGCATTGATGCAGATTGGCTCCCGCCTCTCTGATGTTTTTAACTTCGACTCCCAAGCCCAGAGATTTGACGATGACACCACAGTTACAGCCGGTTAAGGACATTAAATTCTGCCCTACGGACCATGTAATGATTTGAAAGGAACATCACAAAACGAAGAACGTGAACTAACAATAAAACCACGCAAGTTTGTTGACTACATTTACAACATACAGAAGTGTACTTGGTCTGGAGACTCTTTACAAATTCACACGTGCACACATTCGGCTCTGACTATGTGCGAGACTGCAAGTAGAGAAGCTACACTTTGGATGCAGTGTTTCTATTCTAGAGGCTGAAAAGATGTGATAAAACGTTAGCAGCCTGACGCATTTTGTTCCTTCGTGTTTCTATCCTTACACATTACCGTGCTGCTATAGTTTTCTAAGACTAGCTATTACCATTCAAGTTTATTTCACGTTACTTTTCCGTCAGCTAGAAAACCAAAACCTAAAACCATACTGGGAAGGGATGCTTAAGCAGGAAGACTACGAGAGGAACCCCCTTGATTGGCCAAGAAACCCCCTTGATTGGCCAAGAAACGGACAACAACGCAGGTGATATTATCTGCACTACCTCTCTGGTATGCCTCTTGCATCAGCCGCTTAGCAGCCTGCTCAGGATCCTGTATCGGTTTTATCATTGCGACAGCCTCCTGAGAAAGGTAAAGCAGCAGTTATGGAAGTTGCTAACTATGCTGGTTTCTTTGATTAAATAGGTTAGGAGAATACTACAGTGCCATCCATGATAAACACAAAGCTGTCAATTTTCATCAAACTGCTACTGAGCTCGACAGAAACACTGTTGGATTCCAGGATAACAGTAAGATAGAGGCGAAAATTAAAAAAATCGTTTCATACCTCATTTGAAACAACATCCCACAGTCCATCACTTGCAAGAATAAGGAACTCGAGAGAGCTGTCAATCTTTTCCTCCTGCAAGCTCCAAAGAAATATCAGAGTTACAGAATGCTTAAAGTACAGGTAGAAACGAAATGCTAGTAGCAATGAAAATGTAATCCTCATATAATCATCTCTCAAGTAGGATCTTATAGAGTTTTTTCAAGATACCAGGAGAGCTCTAACAAGCAAGGCTATTAGCAAAGTTTTCATGCTGGGTTTATGTATTACAAGGTTCTATCTTAATTATGATGTACAATGACATCTCCGGCACTCGGCATATTTCATCAAGTTCTCAACCAGACCTGAATTTCTGGATCGGCAACAACATACTGCTTCAAGAGCCTGTCCCCAAATGCACGAGAAACAGCAAGAACACCTCCCACTCTCCAAGTTCCTACAAAGATGATTCCACTCATAATAAAAGGAAGAAATTCAACACATTATAGCAATGGTTAAACAGAAAATAAAGAAGGGAAGGTAAGAGGAATGAGAAATGGCTAGATGTGAAACCGCACCAGCCCACATGACAAATCCTCCTGCATCCTCAATCCGTTGTCTCTCATCAGTTTGATCTGGCTTGTGATCGCGAGACACGGCAATAGCTGTAAGAAGAGATATCATATAAAAGTCAGGTATAAATAATCATTTTAGCAATCAACTTCATATGTGGTGTCTTGAATTAAATGAATAAAAAGGAAAGAAAACAAAAAGAAAATGACGAATCTTACCATTGCCTCCTCTGCAGATAACAGCTCGGGAATCCCCAACATTTGCAACTAGCAAACGGTCACCAACGAGTATAGCCGTAGAAGCAGTTGATCCAGCATCCCTATTCTGATTATTTTCTGATTTTAAAAATTCAGAGTCTGTATGGTTGTATGCATCAGCTGGAGGTTGGAAATTTAAAACACAAGTTAGGCTGATGAATGAACAGTCCACTAGAAAAGAACACAGTTGTATGACACAGTTATAAAGTGAATAACCTATTGCTGATTTGGTGTCAGATATGAACTTGGGATGCCTGATCAAATTACTGAACAGGTTTTGCTTCACATATTCAGCTGCCCGAGCACCTCCATGGCCTGAAATAACCGTGCTTGTTAAGATTAGGTTAAACAATTTGTAACTAAGCACTACTAGCAAGCAATGAATTGTTTTTACATTACTCAAAAGATATGATTTTTAATGATGCATTGTAAAAGAAAATATTTAATTCTACGGAAAATTTTAATGGTACAAACCACCTCAGCATAGAATTTATAGTTTACCACAGTAATGCCCCATCCTGAGCCAATAACAGCCCTTGATAAATGGCTTCATATACGGCTACCAGATTGGAGCACATAACAAATACCAGAATCTGCATGAAATCCTTTCGGATACATTCTCTAAGTTGGAACTACAGTGTATCATTATATAAGTTGGTATATGTTCAACTATAATTGTCTACCAACCTTATATACTTAAGCAAAGGGATTAGAGCTAGATTAAGGAACAAAACACATAATTTTAAAAAAGAAAAGAGATTATGCAATGATGAAAGGATACAGCACGGAAAACATAGATAAATTATAAAGACTCTTCCCCCACCAATAATAATCACCACAGATGTTACAAAATGTATTTACCTGTATTTGGTTCACGTGAAATATACATAAACCAATAGTTAGTAATGTTGTTTGCTTGTTCATGTCCATGGGCAAGCAAGAAAGAGAGAGACAAAGAGTAAGAGAGAGACATACCATCAAACACTCCAAAAAGACCAACAATCTCTCCATCAACACCATCAATCCTTGTCTCATAAAAATCTTCCATCGAAGACCTTTTCCCTGGAGAGCTTGCATAGCCATAGCTGAACTTTCCATTCTGACTGTTGCCAGAAAACATGGGACGCTTGGATTTAGTCATATTCCGAAACATTCCAGTATTTAAGAAAAGATGTAAACTGAATAACATAGATTCCTCATTATCATCAAATTTAAGCACAACATATTTAAGAAACTTTTGATATAATAGTTTCTGCACTTTCAAAAGATATTACTTCCTGCATTTCTACTCCTTAATTCATTTCCATATGAAGATTTAACAAAAATTTAGATTTTCTATCTTTATAAGCTGCATGACCTAAATCACGTGACAAAACCATGCAGTATATTTTAAAGGCACAACTAACTTAGTGCAAAGCCAGAAAGGTCCAAAAACTGTCTTGCCGAGATAAAGGGACTCAGATCCTAAGCAAAACGGAAAACATAATAATAATCCATTCTAGCGAGAGTAATACGGGCAATACGACAAAATGCCATTAATCCTGAACCATAAATAATGGAACAAACATGAGTGACTTCATTCCCCATGATGACAACTGAGAAATGATTGCATGCGTCGATAACGACAAATTAAAGATTTTGGCACAGGTTACTCCCACATTATGCAGTGACAAATCGTTAAAAGGAAAAGATCCACAAGAACTTAACACATGACAAGCTGCTCCAAAATTGAAAACATATGTTAGAACTTTCCAAATTTATGGAGGTTAAGCATGCATTAATTGCACAATTTATTTATTTCCCTTCCCTCTTTATTCTTTTTATTTAGTTTTGCTCAGTGATAACGATGGACAGCCACAGGCCCTATCTAATTGAGATGTATTTTAAGGTTCACCTCAAAGCAAACCATCCGAATTAGCAGAGATCTTTCTCTAAAGGCGATTAAACAACAGATACATCACGAATTCCAAATATTAAAGGAGATGTTTCCATTTCTAAAGAAAAGCTAGTATTATTAACAGATATTTCCAAATTTCATACAAAATAAATGACAACAAATTCAGAATAAATGCATAAAAATTGGGCAGGACATGCAAACCAAAACACAACCATGTGGAATTTGAAAACGAACAAAGTAAAAGAGTAACTTGCAAACCTAAAAATAAAAGTATCAATTCAAAGAAATTCTAGATCTAACCAAAAGATTGATGAAAATACAAGAAGAAGAAAGGCAGCAACCTAAGGCCTCCACCGCTGACAGGTCCATCTTCAGCATGAATCTGGGTTGAAGATTGCAACACGGAATTCAGATAGCCCATACTATCGCTTGAGCTTTCAAATTTTCCACCTCTTATCACTTGTATCCAAATCAGGAAATAACACAAACACAAGCCTACTCGATAACCTCTATATTTTAGCTGAAGATATTGATAGATAACAAAAAAAGAATAGCCTAATTTAGCAATTTTTGCAAACTAATGAAACCAAAAACAGTCTTCACGTTTCCAGGATCATCTCAAAATCGAATCAATCTTAACCTGAAATGAAAATTCAAAAAATTTCAGATCCAAACTCAAGCGAATAGATCTTAAGATCTCAATCTCATGCATAACATGCTAATCAAAGCCTAAACGAACAAAAGTAACATATCGAAGGCAATAAATGAAGGAATTACCTGAAGGAGAAGGGAAGGGAAAGGAAATGCCATGAGAGGTTGGAAGGAAAAAAGACGAGACTTTCACAAGAGAAGATACGGTTTTAGAGAGAGAAGAAAGAAAACTCAAACCAGAGGCCGCTGATCCTTCTGTTCCAAGTTTGGTTTCAGTTCGGTTTTTGGTTTGTTGCAAGCAGCTCGATTAAAACCAAAAATACAAAGAGAAAAACAAATTAATAATTTAATTTAATTTAATTTAATTAATGATGAAATAAAAAGGAAAAAATAAAATTGGTGATGCTGGAAAACAGCGGGGGAGTTGTTTGGTTCATACGCGTCGCCGAGGAGAAAGCCGAGAGCCAAGCTTACGATACGACCAAGTCAACCAAGTCTTCTTTATTAGGTGGTTGAACCTTACACGCGTCGCACATGCAGGAAGAGGTGTACCACCCTTCGTTTTATCTAAGGTATATAGTATTTTTGCTCTTTATCTCTTTTCCGTTTTTCACTTTTTTTCTTTTTTTAATTACGGTTGAGTAATTTTTTTTCTCTTTTTGAATTATTGTTAGTATTAGTATCTAATATTCATATATTAGTAATGAAAATATTTAAAAATAAATATTCACAATTAAAAATATTTATGATTTATTGACAAGGTTACTTTAAAATAAAAATAAAAATTTAAACATGTCAACATATGAGTGGAATAAATTTAAGTAATGTTTGACATGTTCAATGATTTCTGACCAATTTTAGATTATATTTTTTGATTAATTTATTTTTATAATTAAAAAAATGAGGAGACAAAAACTATTCAACATTCTTATAATCAATGGTTTCAAACATGTTCATGTTTATATGTAATTTATATTTTGAAAATATATTATAAATTATATCATAATCAACAACAAGACTTTTTCTTCACACAGATAATAAAAAAGTTTTGAAATTGTCTAAATTTGTATATTTTGATTTATAGTTATACAAATTATTGATTTTAATAAAAAATTAATAATTATTAGATTTAATATTAATTAACACTTTCTGTTTATGTGACATAAATGTAATCACATAGCAATATTATCTAGTTGGTATTTAAGTTGTAACTGACGTAATCATATATCAACTAATTTAGAATAAATTAGTTTGAATTTAACAGTTGAAAAAAGAAACTTAATTATAGTAAAGTAATCAGTTTTTGTTTTTGGATAAGCAATAAGGTAATTCGTTTGTTATATAATATTTGGAACGTTAAACCGTTTGCTTTAATTTTTATTATTCCAACTCATAATTACCCACTTAAACAAATTCCATTCAACTTAAAAATGGTACACTTTATTTAACGATTTAACATAAAATTAAAGTAAATAATAATAATAATAATAATAATATCATATTAAACTCGAAACTTTACACTTTTACCTTATTGTTTTGACTAAGGAAATCAATAAAAGATAATAACATGCACTTAAGAAGATCGAGAAGAAAAAGATTTGTCGTGAGGAGGTGCAAGTAATGCAAAGAAAGGTCAAGATGGATGCCAGTACGTGGCTTTTATCCAATTCTATACGAAATCATTTCCTAATCTGATATTATCTTTAATTTTCCATTTTTCTCTCATTAATTTTGTTTGCAAATCAATCCAAACACATGTGAACAATTAAAGATCAATCAATCAATCAGCTCCATCGTTGAAACCACTCATCTCATCAATCAATAAAGGCTACGTTTGCTGTTAATTGTTCTTCTATAAGTTTCGTGTAATTGAGTTTTGATTAAATAAGATTAATAAATGATGCTGTCAAATCTAGCTAACTAATCTCATTATTCTATGTTTTCTTCAGCTCCCTTTGCCTCAAATCATGGGAAGTCTAGCGTCTGAGTACGATAAGTCATATGCAATAAATGAGATCGATTCCAGCCATCCCAATTATTTATATTCCTTTATTTGATACACAGTTAGCATATTTCATAGTCAAATATAATCGCTTCGTTAATAAATAAATTTAAAATTTTTTAACATTTTTATTTGTATACGTTGTAATATATAAATACTATATACTAAACTGCTACCCGAACCCATATCAAATGCTAATATAAGATACCCATATTTTATATAATCGGGATCAAATATCTACAAATACCTGTTTAAAAGGTACCATTACCATGAACTAGGATAAAACTTAATCACTCATATGACAGCTCAAAAATTTTGAGCCCAAACGAAAATTTCTGCTATCAAACTGTAAAATTTGGTTGTATAAGGGGAAAAAATATCATCTAACATGATCGTTAGGTCCATGGTTTTTGGCAAACTTGCGGATAAGCGTAGACATACAAACCCAAAAATTCTCTGGAAATTTGTTGCTGAGGTGCTTGAGCAAGGCCGATATGATGTCTAGAGAAAAGCTATGGGTTTCTGGCTTCAAAGCCATGCGGATGAACATTGCTGTCCACACCTCTGGGGCCAACTTTACTGCTTGATGGAGAGAGCGAAACCCGTTAACAACTCTTGTAATAATTGCTTGATCCTGCAAAATTTAAAGCAAATTAGTAAGAAACCTACCCCCAGCAATATGTTCAGCAAATTTGCTTATCCATTCATCCAGTGAATTGATAATGTGTACTAGACAACCAATGTGTGATAATCGGCGTAACTACAAACAATTAGCATGAGGAAAAACTTTATGATCAAGTAAATTGTTTTAAGGTAATAAAGCTACTTTTACTCTTTTAGCTTGTGGGATTAATCAAGAAGACATCACAAACCTCAGATTCCGAAGTTTTTCTTGCTCTACTTTCAGCATCTAGCCCACAACCCAAAACTTCATCCTGTAGAAAAATATCCGCTGCTCTAATTATATCCCGCAGGAGGAAAACCCGCACCATTAGACCCTGCTCAGATAGAATGAAAAGCAGAAGATCTTCTGTGGCAGCAACAACAGCACGGATATCGAATGACTTCCATTCCAAGGGATGTGAATCATTCTCTTCAAAGTTTGGAGGCTCCTTGGATGATTCAGAAGCCTGTTCTGATATTGCTGCTACCTGATACAAGTTGAACCACATTCATGAAGGGAATGAGGCAAAATAGTGAACTTAAAACAGACAATTGTCTTCATATATTAGCAGATGCAATTTCAATGTAAATATGGACTAGTCTGCATAATGTAGAAACAAAGAGAGAAGGCGTAGAAACAAAGAGAGAAGGCTTACCAAACGCTCTAGGCGATTCCACCTAATGGATCCATTATTACAGATGAGAAGTTCCCTTAAAATTTTTCTCATATCAGGATTTGGATCTTCCAAAAGCCTCCCAATCACAAAAGGATATGCACTCTCAATAACTTTAAAATCAGGATCAAGAGCTTTTGCTGTTCCTTCCAGCGAACCAAGAGCTCTTACCACCAAAGCATAATCCGGGGGAAGAGAGAAGTTAAAACCGTACATGACATCATATAACTGGTTCATTACACTCTGAAATCCAAAATAATATAAAGAAATTGCAGGTGTCATGCTTTTGCTTCTGAAAATAGTAAAGACGGAATTTATAATATGGAGACAAGTGACCATTAAAAACAGAGAGTCTCCCAGGAGCTATCATGCCAACTTTTCAGATTTAAAAGGATACTAACACATCTAGATTTTAGAGAGATTTGACACTCAAATGAGTCTCATGCTGCAAACCATTTGCTGGAAAGTAGAAACATTAGTTTATGTTTCATCATAAGACAATACAAAATTAAATACTTTGCTTTAATTATGTAACACAACAAGGTAATTATGTTTGAGAAGCAGCATACAATCTTTGATACAAATCTCTTTCCATAACTGTCAATTTTCCCTCATCAAATCAAACAAAATAACAAGAAACATTTAAACAGACAAACTTGTAGAACTACTAATTTAACAATAGAGATGGCATTTTGAAGTGCTTATTATGCCTATTTTGTACTTATAAGAATTGAGAGAAATATAGCAAATCCGAACAGAAGGTAAAGCAAGCAAACACCTGGAAGTCTTGAGATTGTCGAGTTCCATCCCCAAAAGATGCCTGCAATGCATCTGCCACTGATTGTATATCAACTCCTTCAGGAATAAATCCCAAAGAAAGAAAGTCATTTGCCAAACCCAGGGAGTCACGATTCACGAAGTGCACAAGCTGAAAGAAACAAGAACTTGTCAACACAAACACAACTTCAGGGAAATAACCATCAAAGCCCAGCACCATCATGCAAAAAAGACAAAATTAAGAATGCATAAAATAGAAAACATGCTAAAAGTATCAAAGATGCCAAAGGAGGAATACGACATGAGCATGGAATAGTAACCAGGTGAAGACTATTTAGAGCCTAGGTTAATAGTTAATAGTTAATAGTAATTTTTCCAAGAATAACCATTTCCTTATTCATTTCCATTAATTTTTTCCTACTCCTACTAAAATAAAATACCCCTGTTCATCTTCAAAAAGATTGGTACTCATAGTTAGAGGAAAAAGATGAAATTTCAGTTTTGAAATGTTATTATCTTCATGCAAACTTATGCACTAATTCCTGTTCAATGATGCACGTAATCTCAATGTATCCAGACAAACCATATTTTGAATACTAACAAATTACATAGAAGACCTATCATGACTACATACGACAAAATTTAAAGCAGTGCCCTGGTATAATTATCAATAGAACAGCTCTTACCACTTGAATAAGCCCTACACGATAATGGCGAGGGATATCCCCCATCATCCCAAAGTCAAGATATGCAAGGGAGCCACTGCTAATAGCAAAAAGGTTTCCTGGATGTGGGTCAGCGTGGAAAAATCCCACCTCAAGCAATTGTCTCAAAGAGCAGTATACTCCCTAACAACCCGTCAGAGGAGGATAAAATCAGACTATATAAACACAGGTAGACCATATATCAGGTGCAAAAGTAATGGCTACTGTGTGACCACAAGCTGAAATTAAACAAGAAGGAAAATTTTTCATTATGAATCTCACCGGAATCACATTACCTGGTCAATCAGTTCCCTTCGGTTTAGACATGCCTTCTTCAGGCCAATTTCATCTGTAAGCTTAATTCCATCTATCCATTCCATTGTAAGCACACCTTTCCGTGTCAGGTCCCAATATATTTTTGGCACTTTTATTCCCTTTGCCTTTTTGTTTTTGATGGTATTCCCATCTTTAGCATTTTGATTATAAGTTTGGCCATTACCTGTATTCATAAGGAATATGTATGACTATGAATAACCATCGTAAGGACAAGTGAACAAAAAAATGAAACTAAAAGCATCAATACAATAGCAGGCAGTGGCAACAATTTGATGTCATAGAAGGATATCATATAACACTTTTTCCACTATAATCTACACTCCCAAGCAAAATATCTATCCTTGAAATTGTTCTTTCCTTTAATGTGAAGCTGTCCAGTGTCAACTCAAACTCCTCATAACACAATCCTAGGCAAGAAAACCAAAACAACACTACAAGAAAATGACACATCAAAGAAGATCCCAGGTCATTTACAGCTCACAAGTTAACCCCTTTAATATTTCTACTCTTGAAGAAGCCTAACAAAATGATAAATCCTATATCAGTTGGTAACCTTTAAATTACTTTATATAGACTTTAGTATTCATTAGCAATTATAAATACTTACTAGGATAGCCACCATAAAGAGAGGCAAAGCGATCAGCATTTCTTGCCTCCAAGATGTAATCAATTTCATCAAACATGTGCCTTACCTGTTCATTTAAGAGAGACCTGAAGATGTCCATAAGCATGTACAATCTCATCAATGAAAAGATGATGGTACAAGTGCAGGGATCGTACAAAAACAATAAGAAAATGAATACTGTAAGCTGCATTATAGCAAGAATCACAGAATCCAAATACTAAGAACATACTTTTACAAAGATCAAAATATGAGCATATCATTTACCAATGTATATAATATAACTGATGGTAGAAAATGCATATCAGATCCCTTTCAAAAAAAAAAAGCATATAACATGATTGGCATATTTACACACTCTAAACATGGAAGACTCACCACTTCATTCACAGCTACTAACAGGTCTTTGCGAGCTTTTGCAAATCGCTTCAATTGGCCCCCAATCATATGGAATAACAGGGCATCTAGGGTCAACAAGAGTGACATACCAGGCCTCTGTACTTTAACAGCTACAAGTTCTCCAGAATGAAGATGAGCTGCAAGACATGAAGCAATGAAGCAAACACTCAGCTTAAGTATTCCCCAAAATATAGACCTTTAACAGATGCTAAATTGAAAGTTGGAATATCGTTGACATGAGAAAATGATATGAGGGGAAAAGAAAAAGAACAGGTATATTGTTTTCCCTTTCAGAAAACTGCTTGTCAACCTTTATACACCTGTCCTAAAGATGCTGCTGCAATAGGCTCTGGGCTTATATCAGCAAAAATTTCTGAAACTGGAACACCCAGTTCGGTTTCAATAGATTTTATTGCAGTATGGGTGGGAAATGGAGGAATTTGATCCTGGCATTAACAAAAAAGACTAAAATCAGAAAGAAAATCTAAGATTAATGTTAATTAGTCATAAATCTCAACAATATGATCTAATGCCTTAGGATGGAGGAATGCTTGTATACCTGTAACTTAGCAAGCTCTTGGCAATACACAGGTGGCAATATATCTGGTCTAGTGCTCAGAGCCTGCCCAAGCTGTATACCCAAATAAAAGTAGGTAAAATTATAAGTTTCACCCATGAGGATTAAGGGAAATAAAATAAGTAAGACTCAGCTTGGTTTTCTTTTGCTTATTTATTTTTGCTTCCAGAAGTAAAATGCAAAGAGTTTGTTTGGAAAAACAAACAATTGAACAAATATAAGCATGCCTTTCTATACCCTAATGTCTTGGAGCAACCATCAAATCTTCTCTCTCCCCATTAATATTCAGAGTTCAGACCCATAATAGAAATTTTCATGCATCTGATTCGAACTAAACAAAAAGCAGAACTGAACAGTAAAGTTACTAAATTTTGTAAAACTTTGAAACTAAAATAAACAAAGCCCAACAAGCAACTTAACAAACAAGTTACATAAACTAAAGAAAATGATAAAGAAAAAATAAAGTAACTTGCCTTAATATAGAAAGGACCCAAGCGAATTAGCATCTCACGGAACTGCAATAGTGCAAAAATTGCAATAAGCTCTTTGTGACCAAAACCATAAAGAAAGCTTAGTCAAATGAAAGATATGATAATTTCAACCAAAAAAAAAAAAAAAAGAGCCAAATAACATGAAATTGCTATGTTTAAAACTTCTAAACTCCTAGTACACAGTTAGCCAGATTGTGCCAAGGATCGAGTGTTTTAGTATGCTTTCATATTGGGTGTATATGGATGCATAACAGAAGCAATTCAAGTTGGTCAATAAAACATGTAGAAGAATAAAATTCTTATAATACCTTGGCAGCACGCTTTTTCACGTCTCGAAAAAAGAATTGCCAAATAGTCAACTTCAATACATGAAATGAAATGATTGCTGCTCTATACAATGCCAAAAATGGGCCAAACCGATAGACAACAGAAACACTTTTTGAGCTGTGAGTACCAACGATATGCCCAAATTCACTTTCCAATGATTCTTTCCTCAACTTTGCGTACTCCGCAGAAGGGCTCTCCCCATGCACACTGAAGAAACCCCTAGAAAACCTGCATGAAAAACCTTTACAGACTAAATCCCAATAAACACGTATTAGAGTAGCTCCCACATTTTATTTATCAGTACTCATCTAACCAAATTCCAAGCATAATGATAAGGGGTAAATATCCATGCACTTACTGATATCGTTGCAACAAGCATGACGAGTGCGAAGTATCCTGCGATCCTGCAATTCCAACATCCACCAGAGCTTCCAGAGAAACAGAATGACGCAGGATAGTTCCCACAGGTCTGTCATGGTGTACTGCTGCAAGAAGCATCAGTTACCAAAAAACACAAAAAGCAACATTCACATCAAAGAACCAATACTAGATAAACAAACGACGGTGAAATGTCCTCTTCGTTTCCGTTAGAAACATAAATGATCCGACCAAGTATTAGACTCGTCCGTGCCATAAAACTACTAGAAAAACATGGTTAATTTTTTTTCCCCCAGAAACAAAACCAAAATAATCATAACATCGAAGGAAATTAAGCTCAGTGCAGCAATAGCAACTCAAATTATTGCCATTCAAATTGAGAGAACAATGGGTGGAAACAAGGAGGGAAAAATGGTACCCGTGGAGAACAATGCGAGACGGCGGCAACGGTTGAGAGTGGCGAAGACATTCCTCATCGGGTCGAATCATACAAAGGAAGGTCATGCACCCATTTGGGAGATTAACTCGTGCTGACAATTTGTTCGTGAAAATGCGCCTTTGAACATCGTGCAGATTCTGCTTCCGACTGCCGAAATTTTGCCACGTTACAAGTCGACATGGCTCATCAACCGTAGCCTTTCTCAGCTCAATTAGTCGACACTCCCTACACAATGCATTTAACGCAGAAGTCCGGCCCAACCCCCATGTGATGGATTTACATTGGGCTGAATTGGGGCTAACCCCTGACTCGAGGCCTATGGATGATACAATTATATATCGTAGGAGTGAGTATTAATGGGTTCAAATCAAAATTGATTGTATTCAATCAATTTGGATAGATTTTTTTCAATTTTGGCATTAATCGATTAGGAGAGTTAATTCATTTTGATTACTTCGATTGATTTTTTATGTTTAAAATTTACAATCAATTTAATAAAAAAATCAATTATTAGCATATTTTCTATAAAATCAAAATAATTTATTAAACCGATAAAAATAAATCAACTTTAGTTTTTTTTTTCATAAAAATTTAGTTAATTCGATTTTCGAAATATTAAGATCAAACTAACCAAATATTTATCTCTTGTAATTTATCCTTATAGATTGAGGAAAGAAAAAAAAAACTTATGCTATTATTATAAATGTAATAACATAAACATTTATTTTGTATTATAATTTATATAGTTTTCGTAATTGATAAGAACATTAGCATATGATATCTAAATGGTTTACAATTTGCAATCAGAAAATAATATCCAACAAGCATTGTCTCATATGCAAAAATGTATAAGCATGACTCATATTGTTGACACCTCTATTCTTTAAAAGCTACCATAAATACATGAGATGGAAAGTATTGATATTTGACACCTCATATTATTGACACCTCTATGCTTTAAAAGCTACTCATATTATTATTATTATTATTAATTATGAATAACTGCAACCATTATTGTCGATGGTGAAACTTTTGAAAAAATTAATTACTCAAAAAAATGTATATAGCAAAGGGAGTATATTATTTTTTGTAAAGTTAAAGTTACATGTAAAAATTTTAATTATAATCAATATATTTATATATAAGCAAATTAATTAAACAAATTAATATAAAGTTGGACTAAATCCATAAACATAGACTTAAATCTGGGATCTAAAAATTTGAAGACCTATTGCTTATCATCTAGACAACGTCTGGTTAACAAATGAGTTTAGAATTAATATTCAAGGTTTAGTAATTTTTATGCTAATTATCCTTTTGTAAAAAAAAAACTAGTAGTCCTTGCAGTTATCAACTTTCATAAATAACCAGGTTGATATTATTTTTCTCAACAACAAAAAATAAAAGGGAAAAGAAAAAGAAAAATCTGTCTTGAGTAGGAGAAATTTGTTGTAGGCCAATTCCCAAAGCTACAATCGGGCTCCGATCAATCGAAGATAACGCACCCACCCAGCGGATCAAACTGCAGTTACTGGTTCAGTGCTTCTCAGGCTCATCGCCCCACCGCATAGAAACTCAAAAAACCCTGGCTTCAGGGCTTATCAGAAAGATCCTCCCTCTAAATTTTCCGGTCTCATCTCTTTCAGCAAGTAAAATGGTCAAGGAAGCGCAATCTTTGCGCCCATGGTTTCTGGATTTGGTACCCCTGTTGGTGGTTCTCTTGATAGCTGCTCATGTCTTCGCTTTGGCAAGTCTTTCACTTCACTCTTCACATTTCACCCTTTCTTTCTGATTGTTATTGTCTGCAAATTAGATATTTGATTTGTTGTTTTTTTCTTGTTACAGGTTTACTGGATTTTCAGACTAGCAACCGACAAACAGCCCCAAAGAAGAAAGGCACACTAAGCTATACATTACATTGGAAAATTGGAAAGTACTAGGTTCGTCAAACTGTTTTTTTTCTTTTAAAATTCATCGTCTCTTTCCTGATTCCGTGATGTTTAGTGAAATTGGGTTAGTGGGAAATTTGCTCCTTTGTGCTTTCCCTATTTGGAGAAGTGTGGGTAGAAATCAAAATAGATTTCTTTTGAAACTTTAATATGACAATTTCAAGCTTTCTCACCTGTCTGTCTTTTGTTTCGACAATTCTTGCTATGTTCATACATAAAAACATAAATTTGCTCATTTTGTTTGAAGTCCTATTAATCCCCCACCCTGACCTTATTCCTTTCTGGTTGTATGTTCTTGTTGTGAGACGAGAGATGAGAAGAGGTTCAAGAAAAATATTTATTGGATATGATGACAACTTGGGTCATAATTTTTTTAAAACTATGGTCGTAAGTCTTGAATTTTTTCGATTTGGAGGTTTAATTTGGTTTTGCTGTACTAGAAGGGTTGCGTTTTGGTGCATTATAGACTACTGTGTGGATGCAAAAATTCTTCTAGATCATATGTGTGATCTTGGATTGTCTCAGATGCCTTTGTCTAAAACACCTAGGAGTTTTTAGGTGAGCGCAGATATGGTGACTGTCTTGATTTAGCTAATAATAATGTTGTCTGGAGATGCTGGTGACTGTTCTTTTTTTTGTAGCCTAGTTAAATAGCGATGCTAGCCAAAAATGTCTAATGGGAAAAGAATACTATTGAATACAAGCTATTGTGTTGCGCAATGGGAAAAGCATCAGTTTCACTGTTCGGAAAGCTTGATGTCTGCCAAATTTAACGTCCATCATTTTACATTTCTCATGACCTATTCCAACGAAGTTAACTATTGGATTGATGATGACTTAGAATGATGTTTGTGCATATCATTTAACCCTTCTGGTTTTAAGACACAAAATTTTCTGAATTATTGATTTGCAAGCACACAGGGAGTGTGGAAAGGGGAAGACCTCGGTTCAAAATGTTAAAAACTGCCTGTAAAGGGGACTAGTGTATACGTGCCACCCCCATTTGGGTAGGATAAGAAGATAAAAGGAGTGACCTTTTTATCTTAATAGTGTCCATGGCACAGATATAGGTTGTTATCTATATGTCAATGCAGATTCTAAATTACTGTATTGCCTTCTTTAATTAAGTTGGTTGTGGCACTTCAATTAGCTAGTTTCCTGCTTTTTCTAGCTGTGTTTGTTTCTATTGCTACTTCTACCCTTCTGGTTAATGTTTCTATGCATGTACATCTTGTTATCTTTTAATTAATCCAATCATCAAGGACATTAGGTTCCATATGTCATATGTGGCTTAGATATCATGTAATTAGTCTGTTTAGCTATTTGATCATGGTAAGCAGTTTCAATTACATTTTGATATGATTTGCTACTTGAATATGATTGAAATGTCATCTTATGTTGTACAGATGAGATGAGATTCTAGTCTCTCCTGCTGTTTTATATTCTCAAGAAACCAAACTATGCCTTTCTCTTTGCAGGAGGTTCTTAATGCTGGATTCGATTCTATGTAGAGACAGATTTATAAAAGATTATAAGAAGTTTTGTGAATCCATCATGTAACTCATGCTTTATTGAACATCAGATTTGTTGCGTGGTCCATGCTTATACATTGTTGTTCTAGAGGTTCTTGACTTTTGCCTTTCTGCTGACCAGTTGAATTGGATTATCTTTGTTAGTATGTAAGATGTCAGTGACTATGTGGTCACTGTTGTTCATGTTCTTTCTGTTAGCCAAGGGACATGATTGTTGAATTTCTGACCTTTCTTATTTGGGAATAGTGTTTTCAACAACACGATTACATAAATCATATTGTGGGTTTTCTGTTCCAATTGCACTTTATATTATAACGGCTGCGTCTGCTGTTCTCCATTTGATACATAGCATAGGCAATAAGTCATCTGCGATTGCACGCACAATATACGCATGCATGTATTTCTGGTGTTGCACTGTCATATCTCTTTACCGGCCTAAAGGCAATCAACATTTAGATTGGCATTGTATATACACGATTAGTTTGGAAAGAATCTAGTTGTATAAGGCTATGAGTCTTTAGCTGTGATTTTTTTATCTGATGCAATTAGATGTCTTCATGTGATTAGCCTACTTTGTTCACGATGCAACTTTTAGTAGCATAAAGGGTGATTAGTTCTGTAATTGGTAAACTTATAGTAGCAGAAGTTAGACAAACCATCTCCGCTTCCTTCTCCTATAGCGTACAAACGTGGGAAGTACATTTCCACTAATTAAATGCTAGGAAATATGGTGCGCATTCCTCGTACCAAATGCTTACCAAATTCTCACCCTTCTTGCTTGGTCGAGAACTCCTCATAAAACCAGCAAGTTTGGTCCAGGAATCTAGGTATGGAAAAGATGCATTGTTCATAGAAAGATATTCAGAAGCAACTCTTCTTTTTTGATTAACTCGTGTTTTAAAATTTTAAAATCGAACCGATCAAATTCAATCTTACAGGCATGGCGTCCCATTTACTCTTTAAGGAAGCAAAGGAAAAGCCATCATCATCATGTCTTATGGCACCACTCAGTAGAGGAGAAAGATATTACCATAACATGCCAAGAAATTTATGCGCAATTATTATAATAAAGTGATTAATTATAAGCCAACAAACGCTATCATGGTTTCCTGCAAAAGGCTAATTATTGTGATTTGCAGTTAATGAGTTGTTAATTAGCATCATTTCTACCAAAAACTTAAAAAAAATGAACCTTTATTCGGTTGACGTGAGTTGTTATCACGTGTGCCACGTGTCGTGACAGAGAAAGCCACAAGCCCACAAGGTGCCATAGCGTTGCCTCCAGCCCAGTTCGCCTGACCAAACCACTTCCCATCATCAATGTCTTTTTTCTTTTAAACGTCGACGGTTTTTCCCACGTGTCGCTATCTCCATCGTCAACATCGATGAAGTCAAACAATGCCGTCAGTTTATCATCCCATCTTTCCTTTCTTCGCTCCATTTTCCCGTTTTGTTCTTCCCAATTTTTAATCATCCAATTACCTAATTGCCATTCTATCTTTCTTTAGCCTTAAAAACTTTATTTTAATTTTTATAAAATAAATAAATACTTAAAGACTAAGAAAATATGATATTAAATATATAGATACGAGAACTTGATGAAAGGAATATATATTTATTAAATATATTTATATATATTTAAAATTTTAATATAATTAATTGATTATATTTTATTTATATTTATTTATATAGTTGTTAATATTTAATATTTATATAATGTGATTGAAATACAACTGTCAAATCTTAAAAAAGATATAAGAGATAATATTTGATTTGAATTTTGACTCACCAACTCCCAGTTCTTCAGTGAAGTATCCATATACCTTTAATGGTTTAATTCAGTTGAACAAAACCCTTAGTTCAATAACAATCACACTAATATTTTTAATTATTTTAAATATATTTTTAATCATTTAATTCTGTAACTCATGATTATACGTCAATTATAAAATATAAGAAAAAAAAGATATCAATAAAAGAAAAATTATGGTATTTCATTGATATTGAAATAATCCATAATCCCATCAATTTATGTTTCTAACTATAGAATGATGATTTTGATAAGGTAGTGAATGGGCCTTTCATAAAAAAAAAAAAGGTAGTGAATGGTTTTGGTGTGCTTAATTACATAATCAAACTATTAATATGAAAGAAAATCTCTTCCACGTGCATCCTTAGAAACTATTTTTTAAAATCGAAGGGCCAAAAAACAATTTGCCCATACTATATTCGCATGTGTAATTAAAAAAAAAAAAGTCAAGGTGCATTTGACTTTCTAACGCCGAGGGAGAGGGGGTCTACCAAAATTACGGCTGTTGGTTCCTTAATTAAACTTGTTTAATTGATCTACTCTACAAAATTACAAAATTAAAGGATTATAATATTAATTTATATTATGAAAAAAGTTTATATTTAATACACCAGTAAAAAATATATTTTATACACTATTAGTGAGTCAAATATTCTCACAACAATAATAAATAAATTTAAAAATTGAAAAGTAAAAAAAATAATTTTAAAAATATTTTTTTGATTTTTTACTTTTATACATTTATAATGCGATTCTATATCATTAATTATGCATAAAATATAAATATTTATATTATATTTTTTTTTTCATTTTCTTTGAGATATATGCAATAATGTCTTTTAAAAAATATGATTTTTTTAAAATTTTTTATATTAAAAAATATTTAACATTTATATTATAAATAGTTTAAATTTTGATGTAAAATACATTAAATATATACAAATAATATAAAAAAAAACCCCGAATGTTCGGTAATGAAGTGGCTCTGTCGTAGTTTGGTGGAAAGTCAGGGGCACATATCCTCTACCCTTTATCACACCACGCGGATTCGCCCCGGTCTGCCCTCCCCCACTCTGCTCACTCTACAAAGTACACCAACCTTGTCGCTCGTCCTGATTAAATTTTGTCTCCGTATTAAAGAGGCGGAGAACAACCGGAAGAAGAAAAAAAGAATAAATAAAAAGAGCAGAGAGGAGGAAATAAAAGAGGATATCATGTGCCCGACAAAGCAAAAACACCGGGCCTCCGCCGTGGAATCCGCCAGCCAATACTCCAGATCGGGTTCAACAGCTACTACTACTGCTACTACGACTACAGCATCATCAATCCCCGATTGGATCGCTGAGTCAATTAACGGTGGATCCTTGCGGCAGGTAGACCTTGATAAGGGAACCAACGGTTGGGCCTCACCCCCCGGTGATCATTTCTCTCTCCGTTCTAAAAACTACCTTACCAAACGACAAAAATCGCCCGCCGGCGACTATTTGCTCGTTCCCCTTGGTATGGACTGGCTCAAGTCCAATTCCAAGCTCGACAACGTACTCGCCCGTCCCGACAACCGTGTTTCTCACGCGCTCAGTAAAGCTCAATCCCAAGGCAAATCCATGAAAAGCTTCATTTTCGCCATCAATCTCCAGGTCCCAGGTAAAGATCATTATAGCGCTGTTTTTTATTTCGCCGCGGAGGATCCTATCCCTTCTGGTTCGTTGCTCTACCGGTTCATCAATGGCGACGATGCCTTCAGGAACCAACGGTTCAAGATCGTCAACAGGATCGTCAAAGGACCGTGGATCCTCAAAAAGGCAGTGGGCAATTACGCGGCGTGCTTGCTAGGTAAAGCGTTAACGTGTAATTATCATAGAGGAGCTAACTATTTGGAAATTGACGTGGATATCGCGAGCTCGGCAATCGCTAACGCGATTTTGCACCTCGCATTGGGATACGTGACGAGCGTAACAATCGATATGGGATTTGTGGTCGAAGGCCAGACCGAGAATGAGTTGCCGGAGAAGTTGATCGGCGCGGTCAGGGTTTGCCAGATGGAGATGTCGTCGGCCACTGTGATTGACCCACTTACGCCACCGATTCTGACAGCGGCGGCGCGTGGGATGGGTTGTTCTAAGGTTAATCACCATAAGTCCGGTAATGAAGATGATAATCAGCTATGATGTGATGGAGGTTAATCTTAAACCCCCCTTTTTTATCTCAATTTTAAATTTAATCATTTCTCTTTTATCATATGAATTGGATTCTCTTTTCTGGAGGGGATTGATGGTTGTAGATAATAAAGTGGATAACAAATAACAATGTGCTCGGATTTTCCTTCTCTTTTCTTCGTTTACAATCCATCTTTCTTGCCTTTGATTTCCATTCTTCTGTTAATGAGTAACGAAATGGAAAAGAAGGGGCCGAAAGGAAGGTATTGTTGATAAATGACAGCGATGTTTGGCTGTCGTTGTCGCTTAGCGTTGCTTTTGGGCACTTGCTTTTTGTTGCTTTCTAGCGTGGGGGAGACTTGATATTTTTGTTTACGTTGGCCACGGCGGGTGGGGACGCCGGGATGGGGCTTCTCCCTTTTGGTCACTGCCGGCCACTGTTAAGATTTTGTGGGAAAACATATTGTCAGTAAAGTTGGATGAGGACGGTGGCTCCGCCGCAGTTCCTGCCAAAGATGAAAAAATGGCCAATGATGTTTCCATCATAATCATTTGACTCCCCATGTACGAATCTTAACTGACAAAATCAGTTCGGGTACTCAAAATTAGATTTTATACATGGACTTTTGAGCTTGAACTTAGACATTTTCTCATTATTTTCTTTAATACATAAACGTTTGTTTCTTTTCCTTTAAGGTCCAAATTCTTTATTTAAATTTGTCACGGAACAATTCTAATGGTATGTACTTAGTTCATGTTTTTTAATAAATCGGGTTTGATATTCGAGTATATTCGAGATAATGAGATAATGGTATGTACTTAGATAATATTCGAGGATTGATATAATCGAATTCAGATAATAGATATTTTAAAAATAATATACAAAATTTTCTAGAATTTGTAATAAATATTAAGAATGTTAGCTAAATGTATTTGATTAGGTTTCAATGTCTATTACACATAAAGTTATCTAAATTTAACAGGTTATGCAATTCATCAAAATTGATTTATGATTTGAAGAAATGAGAATAAGATATTCAAAAACTCTCTCTTTAATTCTATTTATACTACTGTCGGCATTGGTTGACTTTCATTGATTCCGAGGCAGAAGAGGACGAAAACTCTATATATTTATTCGTTTCTCAACTTTTTAATTGCTTCTTTATGTATCTACGTTAAACTTCCTTGCCTTGAATTTATTTGCCAAGGATTCTCTTTACCGATCTCACGCATTGCCGAAAGATTCGATTTGTTTATTTCATGCATGCATTTTGCCGTTAGAAAACGAACATGGTAATTCAATATCATTTTGTGGGAGCAGTTGGTTCGTAGCATTGTTAATGCCTATCTCTCTCCTCCTTTTGGTTATTATAATTACTATATAAATTTTACTCGAATTTATATAGTGAATTTTTTACTTAAATTTCGCTCGAATCTGATGGTAAAACACTCTAACCTTATTTAATGAGATCGAATAATATAAGATATTCAATTATAAAATACTAACTCTTGTCTCGCTTTTAATTATCGATAATGGGGTTTAAGGGGTGGTGTTGTTTATTGGCTCGTGCTTTCTTGATTAAATCAAAGAATCGAACATCATCTGCTTTGCCAGCTTCTCCCACTTCCTTTCGAGATTCTCGCTAATAACGCCTGCTATAAATGAATCAATGGCGTTCATATACAGTCGTTAGGCCTTATAAATATACTATTAAAATGACTTGTTCACTCCAAGAATACCCAATAAAGATTGAGTTTTATCTTTTTCCTCTTTCCCTGCTGTAATCCATCCAATTTTCCTTACTTGGATCTTCCTTATACTTTTGCAGTCGTGATGAAGAAGACAGAACCAGCTTTAGCCTTTAAGGTACGGGCGTACAGGCAGCCAGCCAGAAAGAGAAAACTATGTGTTGTTGTTCTTGGGATGTCATGATTCCTTCTTCTTCGTCTTGATTCTGAACCCAAATCCTAATTTTTTTTCTTAAAAAAAACATAATTATGACTTTTCACTTTTTGATATTTGGAATCATGGTGCCTCAAGTTTAACAAGATCCGACAACTTCATGTGTAACAAGACAGCGGCGTCGGAATATTTGGGATGGCAGCATTTGTCTTTCTTCTTTTTTTTTGTTCAGATTGGTAAAATATTGTTTCTTTTGGCCCTGAAACAAAGGTTGGCCAAACTCATAATGACGTGGGGCTAAGAACCTTCAGTAAAGCAGAAAATTGGAGTGTTTCAAACTAAATCAGATCAGCATAGTTTGCACAAGTTGATGCTTTTTACCTTAATTTTCATCCCATAGCATTGGAGGGTCTTTAGGTGACTCTCCTAACTGTTTTCTTTTGATATTAGTGCAAAATTATCCATACTCGCAGTGCCAGTAAGGCAGATTTTGGCACCAAAGTGATGATGTACAGATCCACTTGCATCACGAGAATCCAGTAGACAGTTGGGGTATGGATAGCTAGAAGGACGGATGATTGAAACCAGACAACTGTTTTTGAATTATGCTCTTTTTGGTCTGTTTGTTTTTCCTTGAATGATAGGTATGGCCGTAGCCCGCATGGATGGTATGGTCCATATTTGGAGACTGACTTCTATAGTCAGTAGATCCTAAATGATAGCATTAATACAAGATTCCGTAATATTTTCGCTCAATTTTTTATGTCGGATTACTTACCTACTTGATCCATTGGAGTGCTTAGCGTGACATCTGAATTGAACCTATGTCACCATTTAAGGAGTCATTACGTTCTCTCTAAAAATTAACTTATTAAGATGTGCGATCTCTACACTTGTACGAGGATTCCCTGATATCAGACTAGTAGAGGTGGGGTGTATTGGGTTTATGAATACAGACTACAGAAGATAGACAGAGAGAGCTGATACTCAAGCTGATGGACTTTAGTATATATCCATTTTCAAATGAACCCAACAGGGGAAGTAATTCTGTTGTTAAGGAACATGTCCATGCCCAAGAATCTGCTGTTTTTTCATACCCTGCTGGATATGAAGAGATATCCAAAAGCAGGCTCGTCCAGAAAACCATGATTATTCGCCAGAGTGTGCAGCATTAACTCCAAACTATAGCAGGAGCAGGACCTCCATTTGAGAACATGGGCGGTGCTGAAGAAAGTGAAGTTCAGTATATGTTTTCAAAATAAACACACACAGTTTACTCTCTCACCAATTGAATCCAAAGGCTTGATTTGGACACAATACCCTAAAGTTATTCATCACAATATATTTAGCAAGAAAATTTTATTTCCTTTCTAGGGTGGCCAAAAACAACAGGTAGGTCTTCCCCATGTTTGTTAGTTCAGAAAGCAGAAAGGATTGAGTCTGGTTCTTGGCGTCCTGATTACTCATGTTTACAAAATTTGACTTCCTCCAAATTCTCAGAAGAAGAAGTTTCCAGTGTAAATCCCCATTTTTGTAAGCCAGGCTGAAAACAGAGTACCAGGTCTGTTTCCTTTTGTAAAAGGCTGACCCTTTCAATCAATGAAATTATTCTAATTTTCAAAAAAAAAATCCCCATTTTTTGGGCCAAAATATCTTGTAACTCCTTGGACTCTATATGAGGAACAGAGCAGGTTAGGAAGATTAATCACAAAAGGATTTCTTTACTGGGGGCCAGAACTTGATAATAGACGTGTGGGTCGGTCAACGAGAGAACTGGTCAGTTAGACGTGATTCAAGAGGCAAATACCCGACAAGGAGTCAATGATTCCAGTAGCATACACCAGAGTATCACAACCGGGATTCGGCTGAACTTACTGGAGATTTAAGAAAAAACTGATAAGATTTTCCCAAGTTCGAGTGGCCAAAAAATTAACCTATAAAAAGAACTCAAAAAATGATGGAAATTCATAATCTGGACGTAATTGTTACGTTGCAGAGACTGGTAAACGGTTTACTTATTTTTGCACGAGGACTTGCGTGTTTTAACCTTGAAGTCTTCGGCACGATCCATGACTAGAGAGCAAGAAAACAATAGAACTTTCCTTGCAAAGAATTTTCATGGAGTCTCCTGCAAATGGTTTGATATCTCTTTATATAAATGCTTGTTCCGAGTTGAATAAGATAACATACGCAACTGGAACCTGCTGCAATCATAAGTAATATGACCGGTTCCTCAGCATTGATGGCCATTGGCCATATTTTCTTCTGCTATATCCTGTTTTTCTCTCTTCATGCGAACAAGCCATTTGTTTACGGTGCTGGAGTAGTGGAGAAACACAAGTCGCCTGCCCTTCCAGGTTACTCTTTCTACCTTTGTTCTTTATTTCCTTATCCATCTTGGCAAATTACTGGTGCAAAGAAAAAAATCCCTCAACAGCAAACATTCCATCTTTCATGTCCTGCACGAGGTTTGAAAGTATTCGATCGATTTGGACCCTCCTCACCATCTGGCCGTAAGAAATCATCCGCCACTTCCAGCTGGGTTCGGTCCAACACGAACGCAGGGTTAAGGATGTCTATTCTAAAACATGTAATAGGGGGACATATGTTAGGAAACGGGCGCATGACCCCCTTTTGGCCACTCTGTAGGTGCTGGCAATTATATCATCACGGTTGGTCTCAGCACGCCCGTAAGGACTTTTAACTTGATTTTAGACACGGGGAGTTACGTAACCTGGGTACGCTGCCAACCTTATTTGCAGGGTCGCTGTCCTGAACAACAGGAAAAGGTGTTTTATCCTTCTTCTTCCTCGACTTACTAGAAGGCGCGGTGTTGGCCATCGTGTAATCATCGCCTGTCATACTTTGACAAATCTTACTCCTCTGGATTTTTTGTGCTTGATACGCTTACCATAGAGCCCTATCATGTTCCTAACTTTGCTTTTCTTTGTGCTCAAAATTATAGTGACAGCTTTGGTGAAGCATCTGGGATACGAGCCTTAGGACAGGGCAGCACTAGCACTTCTGACCCATTCGGTGATTACTCTTTGGTGTGCCAAACTACAACAATTTTTGACATGGTTTTCTGTCATTGTCTTCCCGTGGCTGGAAACTCAATAGGGTACGTGTATTTTGGTAAGGAAGCTCTTGAAAAATGCCAGAATTCTGGTCCTTACACGCCGCTTCTAACTAACCCAAGTGACCCAAGCCTTTACTATGTAAATCTTATTGCCATAAAGATAGGCCGACAAAGATTGCAAATGCCTTCTGTATCATCATCTTCATCATCACCCAGCACCATAATAGATTCAGGAACTGTCATTTCTTGTCTACCTTGGTCAGTCTATTCAAAGCTTAGCTCGGAATTTAAAGAATTGATGTCGAACTACCCTGTTGCTTTTCCTGATGGAATACTGGATACATGCTATGACCTGCAGGGGCATTACAATTATGCAATACCAAAAATGGTGCTACATTTTGAAAATTTAGATGTAAATTTGGACCAAATAGCAGTTGCTTGGAGAGGATAAAAATCGTCTCGAGTTTGCTTGGCGTTCGCTGGAGCAGATGACTTCACAATCATCGGTAGTGAGCAACTGCAGAAGCTGAACGTACTCTATAACATTCAAGACACGAAGGTAGGAATTGAGCTTGGTAATTGCTAATGACATCCAACATTGTCATACAGGAGTCTGAGCTGGTGAAATGACAATAAGAGAGCCAACTGCGTGCTCCTTCATTTCTTTTAGTTGTTGGGTTTTAAATGTATAAATCCAGTTCCATCATGTCATGAATGTAATCCCCCTAAATTAGCAAGCAATTGCTTAGGTGGAATTAATCTTTTTCCTCTTAATATCTTGAATCAATACAAGTTTACTTAATATCTATGTTAAGAAAATTTGCTGTATTGAATTTAGTACTTGGAAAGTTTGTGGTTAATGCCACAAAGATTTGGCAAATTATGGAAATTAAGGTTGAAATCAAGGAATAAATTGTAATTGGAGAATCCTAGTACAGGGTGCCTTGCTTTTCCTTGAGTCAACCATTGGAATTTTTAGGAGCCACAAAAAGTCTCTGGCATTTATAGTAGAAACAATAAGGAATACGTGCATGCTTGTTATAAAGTATCAAACCAATGCAAGAAGCTGTCAAAACAATTAATCTGTGCATTGTGTGATCTATGGCAGGTTCCCATCTTTTCACAAATCACGTCACAACCTCTTGCCTTCTCTCGTATTCTTTGCTGGTACTTTTCTTTAGTATTATTCAGATAAGTTTCTGGTTTCAAAAGGGACAGCAGACCATCAGCAAGCTGAGGAAATGAAGTCACCAAGGTCTACTTCAACCTGCTCCTCTTCTCTGATGTAGGTTTTAAAAATTTGGCACTGAAGTGTAGCTATGCTTCTTGTGCCATGTTACGTTATATGTAGTCTGCAGTCTCTAGAGCATCATATATGGTTGGCTAAGGATTTTAGGTATTTCAACTAATGACAAAGCTCTAGCTTTTTAGCGGACTTGTTATAGATTGAATTTTAGTTTTAATCTTTTTATCACAAAGTTTGTATCGTAACAATCCATTTTTCAGGTCTCCACATAGCAGAAAAACAGCTCAAGTTATGAACCCTGCTCACAACTTGGACGAGAGAATTCTTCTTCCAGTTCTCACCAAAATTTTCTCCAAGATGAATCCAGTTCGCTATCTCAATGGCATAAACTGAAAATAGATGATCTGGGTTATGGACCAAAGTGCCAGTTGGGGGCGACCACATTCCCTTGGCGCTGGTAATTATGTTTCCATAGTTGGTTTTGGCACTCCAAAGCAGGATTTTGTGTGGATTCTGGACGCAGGAAGTGGGATCACTGGGATGCAGTGCCAACAATGTTCCGCCCAGCAAAACGACCTTTGGCATCTTCAACTTTCTCAAATGCTGCGCCCAATTTTTCCACTTGTGATCATGGCCCGACAAATCCTATTCAAGTGGCTATTATGCAATGGAAACAATTATCCTTTCGGACTCTGATAAGCTCCTAAGCTTTGTCTTTGGTTGTGACCAAAATAACAGCGATGATTTCTTTAGGCAGCCGGGTTGCTAGGCCTTGGACAAAGAGAATATTCTCTAGTATCTCAAGCTGTCCCGGCCTCACCATCACCACAGCTACTGGACTTGTGCTACCAGGGATGTGGTATTTGACATCACTAAGCATGGTACTACATTTTGGAAATTTCGGTTGATGTTGATCTGGACCCATCTGCTGTTATCTGTCCTGACAAGGAAATAAGTGACAGATTCTGCTTGGCTTTTGCTAGCAACAATTTTACACAAGGCTGGACCATTATTCCATTCACCAATTATGAACTGTAAACGTACTCCATGAGCTACTACATGGAATTCTAAGACATGGTGTCTGTAGTTGCAGCTACACATGGCCAACAGATGATCTATGGAGCTTCTGTGAAGATCTTTTTTATGCTGAATCAACCATTATAATCTGAATCACTTCATTTTATATTAAACATGGTACATGGAGTACATATCTTGTACATCTCTCTGTTGGAGGGCACTGTTCTAGATTTGCCTTGGTTTACACTGCCTTATGACTACCACAGCTTTCTAAGTTGAATCTATTTCTG